AGCACGGGTGTTCGTTAAACCTTCGAGTCCTTTGTGGCTAAGCTTACGTCGCTCTACATGCAGCAGGACTGTTTGTGCTTGCCGTGCACCATTCTGTTGGCTACACAGGGGTCGTAAGGATTAAACTTAAATCCGTTCCGGACAATCGTCTTCCGGAACTTACGGTAGTATAGTAGGCTAGCTACCATTGTACCGTAGATGGCATTCAAGAATTGCAGTAGCAACTGCTAGTTGCCTTTCTTATCCGTCGTTACGAACGGTTTTGTTAGACATCTGGGGCCTATTTCACACAAGCATGTCTTACTAGTTGACTCCTCTTACTCTAATGATTACCATAGCTTTTTCATCCTCGACTCTTGTCTGGATGAATGCGTTCGGGATGTCAATGACTGCCGCGTTCCTTTCCTCTTCAGCGTCTATTATGCAGGATAGTAGTACTGCTTCTGTCGACACTTTTGGCGAGCTTGCGTCTTCCTTGGAGATGAAGTCACGCTCTTTGTTGCCTCCTGCAACCGCTCGGGCTTTGATCTTCCCGTTCCTTTTTAACTTTAGGAACAGGTGTGACTCTAGAATACTCTTGCGTTCCATATCGCTGAGTTCTCCCATTTTCTTCGGACGGCAGGTGTCCCTGAGATGTAATTGTTTCATCTCGGCAAAGGCTGCATCGTGCGCTTTGTCTTTCCACTCCTTGAGTCCAACCTTCAATGACAACTGTGTCATGATGGCTGCTACCACATCAAGTTCTTCTTCTACCTGTGAGTAGAACATGTGTGCATCTAGGTGCAAGACACGTTCAGTCGTATGGACGTTTGGCGTCTCATACTTCTTTCCATCAAAGCTGGAAATATACGATTCCTTTGCTTGTGTCCTCACTCTACTGAACCTGCGCACTCCTGGCGTCGGCTCAGGTGCCGCTTGGGTTTCAACGCACACTCCTGGGATCTGTTCCAAGGGCTGTTGGTCCGTAGTTGGTTCCGGTTCCTCTACCGTTTCGACGATAGGTTGTGTAACCTGTTCCGTTTCGATTTTCGGTTCAACGCCGATTTCATCATTCGGTTCGTTGCTTATCGGAGTTCGATTCTTCGTTGTCGTTGACGTTGTCCTGGAGATCGTCGAGATCAGTGCGTGTGCGGCGTGTTGCGTGTGCAAGATGTGTTCGAGAGTCCGCGTCGAGTCTGCGAGTGGTGGTTGGATCATTGGTGTGCGGGGTGCGTCATGCTTGTGCGTGTGCGGTGTGCCGACGTCGCGTGGTGATCCGACATCACCAATGGTGCGTGTGTGGGGCGTCGTAGAAACGAGTTAGTTTTGGGCTGTGCGTGTTGTGATAGATTGTGTGAGTGTAGCACGTGTGTCGGGCATTGGATCTTGTTCGCGTTTGTGTGCGTGGAGAGATTGTGTGCTGTGGCCGAGCGGAGTGCTATAATTTGTAGCCTCGTGTGTGTGTGTCCGCTGGCGTGTGCGCGCAGTAGCGAGAGATGGCCCCTTGTGGGTTGGCCTCCGAGGCTGTAGCGGCGATTCTTCGTGCACCTGGCAGTAATCTACGAACTGCAGGCTCAGGTGCGTTTTATAGTCCAGGTACGTTCCCATTCGTTATCATGAGGGTGTGTGTGTGTGTGTCGCTGACCCCCGCCTTACTTGGAAAGTACGTCACATGTTTGACGACTTTTAACACCAAGTTGACGGTTTATATTTTTGGCATGCGTGTAAACGTTAGGCTATGCCGGACATCTCGTGTCCTTTCCTTTACTACCCGGATTCTACGTTTGATCTCGGGTACGTGCTCGTTAGGACTGGCAACGTTTACTACCGGTCCACCCGGCATTGCCATGATTGTGTTGGACAGAGGCTCAAACTCATTGTCCACATGAATGGTCGTGATTCTGAAACCACGAGCCTTGTAGAATCGATAGACCTTCTGGACTGCGTCTAGGATGGGCTCTAGCTTCCTGTTGGGCAGGGTTCTAGATGTTGTAAAATCAATTTTACGGCTTAGCGTTAACAGGAACGGAAATCCTGCCACAAAGAAAATGTACATCGTTAGGAACACATCCTTGTGTAGTTGAAAAAAGTCTCTCGGCACTTCCATTGCATTGCCTGCCACAGCGTTCGGTTTCGTACGATTGGTCTTGCCTTTCAGCGAATCAATATCCTTGCCCCAGATGGCTTGTGCCGTGTCGATATCTTCAACGGTCACTGGGCAATTTTCGATTTGATTGCTCATAATAGCCCATCGGAAATCTTTGATCGATGGATAGACGAGTTGCTTGTATAGCAGCTTCGCCCTTTATGCTGCTTTAACTTGTCGTTTGCTGAAGCCTTCCTTATTTTCGGCGACAGTATTAACAAGTGCCTTCCCTTTTTCCTAGGTTCATGAACGTGTAATCCTTCACTGTTCATTTCGTATACTACGTCCGGTAGGCCTGGTCGGATGACTGTGTATGTTCCTTTCGGACAGTCATAAACGATGTTGCAATTCTTGAGGACATTCTTAACAGATAAGATGTTCGTGATTACTCTTTCATCGAACAATACTCTCTGTTTGTGGCCAGCTAACTGGTCTGTGTGCTGGACCTTCAACTTTCCTCCGGTACTCTTCACTGTAATTTGACGATCGGCTTTCCTGTTGTCGGTAACCATGTCTTTATTACAGAATAGAACCAACGTGGACTGGTTGTCCAGTAGTTGGATCTCTCTCATATCTATGTCGTCACATCCTTTTGTGTGGGCGACTTTGCCTTGCTTAGTCGGTTCCTTCGTTCCGTCCGCGAACAGCGGTACGTCGAACGTAACGAACCCTTTTTCGACTTTCTCTTCATCTGACTGCGTTATATCAGAGTCGGCATCATCCAGTTCTTCCTCCAGTGTTGTCAATGCTGTCTTCATTTTATCTTGCTGTTTGCTGATAGTAGCTAGGGTTTTCCTTTGAACGCTACTAGAGTTTTTCTTGCTCGACGTGCCTGACTTGCTACGCTTGCTCGACCTAGAATTGTCATCGTCGTCTTTGTTTTTATCTTTATCTTTATCTTTATCTTTATCTTGTCGGACAGTGCGGAGCTGGTTGTCCTTTATCGTGGCATGAAAAGCATTCTTTCTCTCTCCAGTATTCTTTATCATAGCTCGCTTTTCCGCGGCCTTTTCCTCTTCCACCACCCTCCTCTCCGCCTTATGCTGTCTGAGGAAAGGAGCTTCCGTGGGAAGTGGACTGTCGTGGGTGTGTTACTCTTGTGGTGTTTGTCCAAAAGGTGTAATACCTATGTAACGTGTGGGGATAGTTATCATGCCTTTGGCAAAGTCGTCCCTCAGGTATCTGTTTAAGGGACTGGTTATTTTCGGCTAGAACTAGTTGTTAAGAAGATGTTAACTATAGTACCTGTTCCTCTGCGTATGCCGATGACTATCTCTTGGTCTTCGACTGCCAGGTCAGCGTATTCTGTGTCTGGGTGGAGTAGGTTGGCCGTATGCAGCAGCGCTGCGTCGTGTGGCTTGGAAATACACCACGGATTTTGCAATGTCCTTTTTAGTGGTAAATTGCTCGTGGTATTCGGAGCGGTAAGGCTCCCTTGGTGGAAATTCAACAGTTGTTTTTCCAGTTGGAATAATGTGTTGGTACACAAATTATCATCGGTCTGGCCCATGATCGTCTTGATGGAATCATTTTTCGTAGCTCCAAGTGGGTCGCATCTTATACAGGACGTTTCGTAGTCCGTGTTCTGTTCATCTTGTCCTTTAATAATCGGGTGCACTCCCTAGGATTCAAGTTGAATGACTTTGCCTCATTTTCTTGTAGTTTTGCCAACCTCGTAAGGTGGGTCTCATCAGCCCTCATACTCTGTTCTCTCGAATCCCCCGAGTTCCTCGTCCGGTGGATCTGTCTATGGCTGAGTGAGGTTGGCATTCATTTTTCGAGTTGTTGCTTTCTCTATCGTTTAGTGTGCGTAAGCCTACCTGAGACTGGGTTCATCATGACCTCGGCTATCTCTTCTTCCAGTAGCTGTAGGTTTGTTTGGGTTGCAGTTTGGAGACGAAGGTTGTTCTGTTCGCGTCGTTCCCGCGGCTGCGTCAAGCCTGTTTCGGGTCTCCTCTGAGTACACACGGTCTACCAACACTGTTGTTTCAGGTTGCGTAGCTCATTTCTGATGTCGTCACCCAACGTATTGTCCAACGTGGAGGACATCTTCTCCCATGTTCGTTTCATCTGGTCTGCCGTTCCCAGATCCAGTTGTACCGAAGTTAAACACATGTTGATCGAGGCTTTGCATGAACCTTTCTGCTGGTTCGACGATGGGTTTGGTATTCCATGCCCTCTGTGCTTTGCCGCCTCTTCGGCCACCTCGTCCCTTTACCTCTACCGCTCATTGTCTATGCGTACGGTAGGTGGACGTATTCAATTCTTTCTTTTTTTATTTGCTAGCTCTTTTATTTTAAGTTCTCGTCCGATCTACTTATTCGTCTCTTTGCTATGGGGCGATAAACTTCCAATTTTACTCCTGGCTAGGTGAGTGTTAAAACTTTGCTAGGATCTTGCCAGGTCTGGCGTTATTGCTTCACACTTCGTGCGGTTGCTGCCGTTCCGAACCGTCTTGTGCTGGTTGTGTTCCTTGGTTGGGTACCCGTCCTTGGTCCCTGCGCTGGCACTATGGCTTTCGCGCTTGTTTTTGGCTCTGACAGTTCCGGCTGGATGCTGTCGGCCCTCCTATCGACAATCCTTGTGGATTCTGCGATGAACCTCTTGCTTGCTGCGATCGGACTCATCGTCTTCGGCGACGGATCCGTCGCGCCGAATTGCTCGTTCTTCGGATCCGTCCTCGGATCCTTGCACTCGTTGCGTCTCGCGATCCGTCCTCGGATCTTGCGTCGTCGCTGTTGCTTCGTTGACTGTCGAAATTCTCTTTTGCTGACAGGCTTCTCAGCTGGTCTCTATCGTTCCTTGGTCGTCCTTGCAACGGTAGCGTCAGTCCGTCGAGGATGCTGTCTCTCGCGTCGCGTCGTCGTCTGCGGTCGATCGATCCGTAGGCGTTCCTCTTCGTACGGTCGTTCGAGTTGCTTCGATAGACTCCCTCTTCGACGGTCGAGTACACGACCTAACTTCGCTCCAGTGTTGTACAGTGTATAATGCCATAGCCTTTTTCAGTATATATGTCTAGTTGCTCTAAGTTCTTTAGTCTTACTGTTGCTAGTTGAGACTTACTTTGAAAAAGTTGGGTGGGCTGCTGTAATTCATGTATTTTACTGGCATGACATTCGTAGTACAGGGTACAGGTTCAATCCTAGAGCTTCGAGAATCTGCCCAACACTGATGCCTGACACGAGTGACAGTCAATTCCTACCATTTGCTCCTGGATGTTTTCTCTCGAGATCGCGGTCAAAACCATTGAACAGATGCTGCAATCCTTTGAACATGTCACCTCCGGCAGCTGTAAAGTTGATGGTCAGAATGACACTAAGGAACTGGGCGACTTGGACATGGGTCTCGATTCCAGCAGGGATTTTTAGACGGTTTGTTTCACCATTGCTCTGGTAAGTACATGTAATTCGGGAGGGAGGAGATTCAGTTCAAAGGGATCAAATGAGCATGAACATCCTTCTAGCAGAAATAAAAGACATTGTGTGATCATCAGCCGTCTTACCGATACCTGAGGATCATCACTCAGGTCTACTAGATCCCCAACTATACAGTAGGCAAGAAAAACGGTCAATTTGGGGACACTGTAAGTCAATCATATCAACTTTAAAAGAAGTCAAATGAAAGTCAAGGCAGCACTTGGTCAAAGTACCAGGGTAGCAGGTAACAGGTACCTTGAAACTTACAAATTAAGATTGAGATTGTTGAATTGGACGGGCAAAAAGCAGCCAAGCAGAAAGAAGAAAGCGGCACTGAATTTGAGTGAAGTGTACATGAGACTGTAAATATCCTCAGTAAGACCTTTTTCCAACCGTCGATCAGGCGATCCCGCGGCAGCCTTGTCTAACCCTTTGTCCAATTCTTCCACGTCTTCTTCAGGTGGCTCTACTAGGAGTCCATTGTCCACATTTGATCACACTGACTTTCAACGATTCAAGTTGCTCTTTACCAGCACTGCCCGTTGCCGAGGTCTCCGTCAACCTCCCGTGCACGTGCTATATCCTTCGAACAAATGGTCCGTATATGAGCAGCTAGGAAACTCCAAGCAAAAAACAAAAAAAAAAAAAAAAAAAGACAAAAAAAAAAAAAAAAAAAAAAAAAAAAAAAAAAAAAAAAAAAAAAAAAAAAAAAAAAAAAACAAAAAAAAGAAAAAAGCATCTCTGAACTGCGGTCCTGCCCGTTGTCGTTCCCGCCAACCAACTCAGCATCACATGGATCGTAAACAATCCTCAAAACGCGTACTACGCAACCCTGTTCTTCCCTCCACAGGTCACCGATCCTCGCGCCGTTCTCCAACAAGCGTGGATCGACCGCCCACGCTTCAACCCGCTACGGAGCACGCCAAGCACTAATCACCAAGGCCGCCCGCCACAATGCTATCGAATAGTAGGGCTCCCACTTCATGCAATAAGCCCCCACTCATAACCCTCCGCAACATCTCGCACAATAACTCCTGCTGGAACAAAAAAAAAACTCAGCAATATATTCTCTAAACCTTACACCGTAACATCAGAAACGCCAAATGCATGCTTGCTAAACAACGAAAAACAAATGAACCAAATCAAAAAAAAAAAAAAAAAAAAATAAACAAAAAAAAAAAAAAAAAAAAAAAAAAAAAAAAAAAAAAAAAAAAAAAAAAAAAAAAAAAAAAATCAAAAAAAAAAAAAAAGCTAATCTACTCGAGAGTGAGTCGAAATCTGCTGCCAGTTAGCACAATTCAGTGGCAAAGGTAGTTGTGGTAAATACAATTGTTTACATTTAATTTTTCTAAATCTCAAGCTTTACCACAGCTACCTGAGCTCTATAGCAGGAAGTTCGGCCTCAGGCTGACTGGCGATGGCACTGGAAGATGGCGTTAAGCAAATTGGTATGCATCAGATGCGGTAATACTTCTTTTGTATCAAGTTGACACAGTAATTATATCCGTTAACCCTTTAATTTACCGCATTCTTAACCTGTCCAAAATTGTCTTCCAGGACTATCGGCGCGGGATCTTTACAACACAAAACAGCAAAATCACCACGCAGCCAAAATCAGGAGCCATCTTTGCTGGCTTTACTCAATGCTTCTATACTCGGTTGTCATTGGTGGTCCGTTAAAAACAGAGTTTCGAAGGCTTGGTGTTTACTACTACTAGCTAGCTAGCTAGCTGAATTGAAAGTGGTGGTCTGAGAAGCATACCGGTAGCAGGGATCAGAGAAGGCTACTAGCTAGAGCCAGATGAGTAACCGGAGCGACTGGGTGGAAACTGTGGCTTGTAGTTACTAGTTACAAGTTACAAGGGCACACAGAATCCGAGTGGAAATGAACGAATATCCTTCTGCGCCGTCAGTTGCTATGCCGTCAGGCCAACAGTACTAATATCCGTCATGCTACTCTCTCTCGATCCCATACTCGCGGCATTGCAAACGCTGGCACCGTTCGAGTTGTGCGCCCAACAGTCTGGAATCATTGAATGCCTCCATTTGGGTTTGCACAGCTCGCAGCGCCCCTTGAAGTGTGCTCCTTCGTCGGACACTATCATTGAGGCTGCGTCTTCCCCGGCGGGTCTCGACAACAGCAAGATCTTCCACATACCCATCCATCACGTACTCGCTGCTCGGCTTTAGCCTGCTTTCCAAGAAGTAAGTCGAAACAAGACCCTTCCCTTTTACCTCAACTTCACCACGTGACTCGAACTCGAACTCATCTTTGCACACAGCGCTGACGACAGATTCGGTCACCTGAACCCGCGATGGGATTCCCGTACTCTCCATACGAGACGGCCAGATTCACTGGGAGTTGGAAAGGAAAAAGGAAACTGGTTGAGTGGATTCTTCTGCTATTAATATCAGGACGGCGCAGTGATGGAGCACCCTTACCAGCGTCGCCCCATAGGTCGTAAAGAAAACGAGAGGTTCCCACCACGCCGGCAACAACCGGACCAGTGTTGATACCAACCCGCAAGTCCAGATTGTTCACCGGATTTTCGCCGTTGAAGTCGCGTAAGGCATCAATCATATCAAGAGCAAAGTGACACATGGCGGCCACGGCGCTATCAGGATCTTGGTACGAAGGGATGGAGGTCACCATGTAGCAGTCGCCTGCACGATGCAAGGAAAGCGTGAGAAATATGACCACAAAGGCGGCATTCATGCAAGGGAAGCCCGTTGTATACATCGACGTGCCACATACCTATCGTCTTCACCTTGTTCAGACCGTAGCGCTCGACCAAATGATCAAAGCGAGTGAACAAATCGTTGAGTACCTTGACCAGTTCCCCTGGTTCCATTTTGCTCGACATTGCCGTGAACCCCACGATATCTGTCGTCCATACCATGACGAAATTTAAAGATGTGAGACCGCTCTTCGTGGGTAACTGGGCGAGTGACAGTGTTTCAAGTGGCTCCCAAACCTTGTACCAGTGTTACAACTTACCGGCAACAAAATGGTCGCCTTGTCGTGATGATCTGCGAGATGTTGGGGATCGGCTTCAAGCGATCTGCAATCTCTTCTAGGCAGCATGTTTGCAAGAGTTCTTTCTGTGCTCGACCTCAAGCCTCGAGCTCTGTGCGCTCTTCTTCTGTTCCGTGATTTCGTGCACAAAAAGCAACGAGAAGTGGCTCTCTATCCTCAAATTCGGATCTGCTCGATGCACCATCAAACACTTGGAATTTCATCGACCATTTATTGCGCTGCATGACCAACTTCCGACACCAGACACGTTGTCTCTCGCCGAGTATTTTGGTTAATGCTTCAGTTGACCTTTCCAACCTGAACAAATCAGCAGCAAAGATCATAGTGTGAGTGAGAAAGCAGACCAACCGGTATACCGGTATACAAAAGTAGGGATACCAATAGCAAAGTCTTACCAATGACAATGTTCTTGACATCCTCGCCAAGTAGTTCGTTTTCATTTTTGTACCCAAGAACGTCCACAGCCACTCTGTTCACCATGTGGATGATTCCATCGGGGCTGGTTGCAAACAGCGAATCAAAGGATGTGTCCAAGATTGCCGATCGAACCCTCTCATCTTGCAAGGCTAACTGTAGATGCTCCATTTCCTTCTGTTGCGTGATATCTCGAATGAATGCCACCATTAGCGGATTCCCTTGATCAATTCGATTCACTCTCTTGATGCCAATGACACAGGGGAACTCTGATCCATCTTTCCGCCGGCCCTTCACTTCTCTCATGGAGCCAACAAAACGATTTTCCCCAGTTTGATGATAGTTCTTCAAATATTTATCGTGGTTTGTAGCGTGTCCCCCGCCAACAATCATGTCAATGTTGTTGCCAACAAGGTCTTCTTGGCTATCATATCCAAATTGCTTGATAGCAGCCAGGTTCACCAGCTCAATCTTGCCCTCCAGATCAATGGCAAACATGGCATCAAAGGAGGCATCCAAGATGGCAGCCCTGACCTTTTGTCTTCCTGGACTCTCAACTGGAGTGCATCTGCTTCCTTCTGCTTGGTGATATCCCGAATGAAGGCCACCATGAGAGGATTATCACTACTGCCATTCCTGTCAACTCTCTTGATTCCAATGATGCAAGGGAACTCAGATCCATCCTTGCGTTTGCCCTTGACCTCTCTGAGGGTTCCCATCAGCCTTTCAACGCCTGTGTCCTTGTACTTTTTCAGGTACTGATTATGAGATCTGGCATGCCCCCCACCAACAATCATGTCAATGTTGTTGCCAACAAGGCCTTCTTGGCTATCATATCCAAACTGCTTGATAGCAGCCAGGTTCACCAGCTCAATCTTGCCCTCCAGATTAATGGCAAACATGGCATCAAAGGAAGCATCCAAGATGGCAGCCCTCACTTTTTGGTCTTCTTGTACTTTGGATTGCAGTGCCTCAGCTTTCTTCTGCTCAGTGATATCCCGAATGAAAGCCACAAGCAAGTCGTTGTTTTGTCGATACACTCTCTTGATGCCCAGCTTCACTGGAAACTCTGTTCCATCTTTGCGCCTTGCTTGTACTTCTCGCATTGATCCCATCAAGTTGGTGACCCCTGTTTCCTTGTACTTTTGGAGGTATCCATCATGAGAAGCAGCATGGCCACCCCCGACAATGCAAGAGATGTTACTGCCGATCAACTCTTCCTTTTCGTAGCCAAAGACCTGTGCAGCCGTTTGGTTTGCGAATTGAATGCAGCCATTCAAGTCAATAGCAAAGAGAGAATCGAAGGATGCGTCGATTATGGCCGCCATGACTTTACGGTCATCACTGGAGTTCATCTGAAAACCCACAGTCGCAGAAGCTTTCTTGTTGCGGTCTGAACAAGCTGTAGAGCCTTGTCAAGATCCTTGTTTATGCTCGTAGCAGTAGCAAGTACTGAAGCGAGGGATATGTCGTCTGACTTGGGAGGGGCCGGAGTTGGAGCGGGTGAAGCTGGAACGACTTCAGGGTCTTCAATGGCATTCGTCTCGTCCGAAAGACCTTTTTCTCTTCCCAATTCCTTGTCATTGCGGATGTTGTGGAGGCACACTTCAACTGCTTCTAAGCCGTAGGCACTCACAAGCTTCCTGGCCTCCTGAACTAATTTCTCGTTGCCTAATAGCATCATAGTGATTTTTAGTTTTTGGGTGCTCTTGTTTATGAGTTTTTGTTCTGTTTTTTGGAGCTGTCTGTTTTTCTTCGCTCCGAAAGGGCCTTGAGAGTCTTCCAAGATCCACCGAAGGTGGGATCAGAAATCTGATGTGCTCGCACATTTCCAGTGGGTTGTACTCAGTGGCTTGGTTTTAGCTAGTCAGCCAGATACAGTAGTTAGTTGCTAGCGCTTCTGCCAGAGTACCGTACTGAAAGATGAATGAAAAAAGCTTCGTTTCTCCTTGAGCTTCTGGCCCAATACCGAAGCACTTGCATGATGAACGTGTTCGCAAGAATTCACGGGCGCACCATAAGACTCTTGATTGTCTGCATTGTCTTTTGGGATTCTTCAATGAAAGGCACAGCATTCTTTGATAGTATTAACAATAAATAAATGAACTACAGTGTTCACCCCTCGGCAACCGAACACATTCTGGCTTCGGAATCGATTCGGCACAAAGATGGATAACGCAGTACCGGACCGTTCGACGGTTTTCTCTCAGGCTTTTAAAACTGCCACGACTGACTCAAAATCCTGGTTCGCGTTAGCGGATGTAAGAGGATGTGAAGATTTAAGAAGGATGTTTAAGAGGATGTTGAGTATTTAAGAGGATGTTGTTAAGAGGATGTTATTTAAGAGGATGTTCACCTCCGTTTCCGCCAAGACATCAGCCGATACTCTGTTTGTGGATTATTTTGCGGATAGCAACCTAAACCTGGTGATTACGTGCAGGCGTGGTACTCACACTGTTTTAGCATAGTGAGTATGGGTATGAGTAGTACTCACAATTCCAAAGTCAAGTGAGTATGGGTACTGGGTAATACTCACATTTCCCAGGGTCAAGTGAGTACGGTATCATGTGAGTACAGGTACTTTGTGGTACTATAGAGTACTCACTGAGTACTCATAAATCAAATACTTAGGGAAATTATCTAGGTTTTTCTAGTTCTGGGCTGGGGGCTCATCAATCTTGTTGTAAAGTCCACCATGGCATCAATACACTGTCATAATCCTCCTCTTCACATCGCTGGCAGTTAGCTTGAGGAGTCCTTGGTCCTATTCTTACCCATTCCTTTCTTGCATCATTGATGCATTGCTTGTAGTTCTGGATGAATGCACTGTTCTTGTAGCAAAGAAGGCGCATTTGGAATGTCATGTCAACCTTCTGTTCCATTGCTGAGTTTTCCATCAAACCATTACAAGAACTGAAACTCTTTCTGGAAGCCACAAAATACTCACCGAGTACTCACTGGTACTCACTAATTACGAAGTACTCACGAAGTACTCACCGAAGACTCAAAAGTACTCAAAATCCGGAGTCATGTGAGTACGGGTACTGAGTAATACTCACATTTTCTGGGTCATGTGAGTATGGGTACTGAGTATACTCAGTACTAGTACCCGTACTCACATCGAGTACACGCAGCGTGTATTTCATGAGTCCCACACCCTGATACTGTTCTTCGAAATCTCAGCACGGCTGCTCCGACTCCCGTTCCCGCTTCCTCTTGTTTCTCCGAGGAAGCCACTGTGGCAGTGGAACAACCAGGCCAAGCCAAGCACCGGTACCTACCAAGATGACTGATAGATGGAGACATGTCTTACAGCCAAAACCGTTCCCCATCTATGCCTTTGCCACAATGATGCCACCACTGACACAGAATTCCTCCAAATCTACACCACAAGTGCCTACAAACCATTGGAAGTCACTGGTCAGCATTTGGTCTATGTGCAGGGAAGGATGCCCCAGTCACGGCCCAATCCATCAAGGTTGGTGATAGTCTCTCCCATGCTCAAGCTGGACATGGACAAGACGGAGCTGCTGTCGTCACCAAGATTGAGACTGCCCAGCGCCAGGGAATCTATGCTCTCTGACTCAGGATGGCACCTTGTGGTGGATGGCATTGCAACCTCCTGCTACATTTCCCTCCAACCCAATGGCGATCCTCAAACCATGGAACTACAAGGCCACGGCCACTCTGTGTTGTCCATGTTCTCTCACCATCGTGTTGCGCACCTGCTCATGACTGTGCCTCGTTTGGTTTGCATGGGTGGGATCAACCCCAAGTGGTGCCAGAAGTACAACAATGATGGCGTGGCTCATTTTGTGCAGATGGCGTTTGATTTGTCGACTGGTTCCATGCCCAGCATTGGGTGGTTCAGTTGTTCCTTTTGGCTGTCTTCTTGGTTGTCTTAAGTCCCCTCTATGCTTGGAGCTCTTGTTTGGTTCCAAGCTGGCTGCTGTAACGATTGTTGGTGGATTGGTCTTTCTGGGTTTTGTCCATGGAAACAATAGTGCTGCTGCTGCTGTGGACCCATCAATGGATTTGAAGAAGGAAGTTTGAGCAAGCATGCACAAACGTGTCCCAAAAGTGCTTTAGTCTAGCTAAATGTAATTTTTTGAAACCAAAAGTTGGCCAAACAATGAACTCGCAGTCAACAAGTTAGTTGTAGGCGGCTCCCCAGCATGCACCAAAATGGGGCTCGTCTTCAGCCCAGGTGGCTCGTAGTGGCTGGTCGCAAGATCAGAGACACACATGAGGGATTGCGTACCAATATGGTTGAAGTCCTCGCAAATGCATACCGGTAGAACTTTCGGGGTAAAGAGGGGAAGACACCACACTGCATTGCATGCTTTATCCACAAAGCTTCCATACCTTGGGGACTTCTGAGTACGGTGGCTGGTTGGACCAGCTAGTTGGACTGTCTTCTACATCTCTCTCTTTTCCGTAAGCGCAAGATGGAACCCGCTGTGTAGCACATGGTATACGTTTTCTACACATGTTGAAGTTCTCGAGACTTGTCTGAGCTTGTCTCAGCTCCAGAGCTCCGTCTAGCTAGATCTCTAACGTACTGGTACAAACTAGTACGGTACCAGAATGTCGTACAGTACCGGTACAGCGAACTACCGTACATGTAGTACTCTAATGAGAATTCGAGAATTCTCAAGTTTGTAAAGAAGCTAAAGCCAGCAAAAACAGCCTGTGTACCTTTGCTTTTAGATATTTTGAACTTGACTTTACATGTACCCTGTAAAGACTATCCCAGATTTCTAGTCCCGTAGGGTGGGATCAAGTTACTGAAAGACTTAAAGATCTTTCAAAGACTTAAATAATGCCAACTGTTTAGCCTTAACCCTACCGTCATCGATTATCATTGTCCACCAAGGCGCTGCACCGCCGCCGCAGATACGGTACTGATGGTACCAGGTACTAATACCTGGTACCGGTAGAGTGAAAAAGCACCACAGGATACAGGATGGCTACCGGTACGGTACAAGAACCGAATGATGGCTACAGGATGAACTCAACCAATATGGCACCTAAACAACCAAACTAACTATCTATGCATAGAGTTGTCTACAGTCTTTGCTTGTCGCAGCAATGTGCCGGTTGTAGTGGTGGCAGCCATGTAGAAGGCACTATCTTATGTCAAACTAGCTACATGTAGAGCTTTCTTCCAATTATTCCCAAGTTCTCAGCTTCACCTTTACATGCTCACAGTAGAGAGGATGATATCATTGGGTGCTATTTTAAAATAGCAGGATCAACGAGTTAATTGACGACGGCCGTTCGACGTTCGACGACGTAGGGTGGCTGGCTCCTCATTACTCCTCGACGATCTCGTAGGAACAGAGGAACGATTTAAGGGACGATTGGAATCGTCCCTTCAATCGTCCATTAGGAGGGACGATTTAGGAGGGACGATTCAGCCAGGACTGACATCTACTGAGTATCTCTCGGCATCTATCTTCTCGCCGTGTTCCGAGCCGTTGGCTCTCCTTTTCGCTCTTGCCCGCAGAGGAGACGTGTCCCTAAAGAAGATGCAAGGTGCAAGGTGCAAGGTGCAAGGTGCAAGGTGCAAGGAACAGATCAAACAACTTGAAGAGTCCCACAATTCCCAAATCTGGAATAATAATAAAAACTGTTATAGTAAGGTCTCCCACCATGAAGATTGTTTCTGCCTTCACCATTATTACCGGTATCGTCACATTGATGACCACATCCTGCAGTGCTTCTGTCTGCCTAACCCTCAATATTCCGGACAACCTCGGTGCGGGAACTATGACAGCAATTCCAGCCCCTACTGGAACAACGGATGTCACTTGCGACGTTGCTTGCACCGCCGGCAACAACCGAGTTAGAATGTTTCAAGGTGGGACAAGCGGGGACACTACAACTTCTTGCGGAACCTCCGTTTCCGCCAAGACATCAGCCGATACTCTGTTTGTGGATTATTTTGCGGATAGCAACCTAAACCTGGTGATTACGTGTTCTTGCGATAATCTCAGCACGGCTGCTCCGACTCCCGTTCCCGCTTCCTCTTGTTTCTCCGAGGAAGCCACTGTGGCAGTGGAACAACCAGGCCAAGGCCAAGCACCGGTACCTACCAAGATGACTGAGTTGGAGATTGGAGACATGGTCTTGACAGCCAACAACCGCTTCCTGCCCATCTATGCCTTTGCTCACAATGATGCCACCACTGACACAGAATTCCTCCAAATCTACACCACAAGTGCCTACAAACCATTGGAAGTCACTGGTCAGCATTTGGTCTATGTGCAGGGGAAGGATGCCCCAGTCACGGCCAAATCCATCAAGGTTGGTGATAGTCTCTCCCATGCTCAAGCTGGACATGGACAAGACGGAGCTGCTGTCGTCACCAAGATTGAGACTGCCCAGCGCCAGGGAATCTATGCTCCTCTGACTCAGGATGGCACCCTTGTGGTGGATGGCATTGCAACCTCCTGCTACATTTCCCTCCAACCCAATGGCGATCCTCAAACCATGGAACTACAAGGCCACGGCCACTCTGTGTTGTCCATGTTCTCTCACCATCGTGTTGCGCACCTGCTCATGACTGTGCCTCGTTTGGTTTGCATGGGTGGGATCAACCCCAAGTGGTGCCAGAAGTACAACAATGATGGCGTGGCTCATTTTGTGCAGATGGCGTTTGATTTGTCCGACTGGTTCCATGCCCAGCATTGGGTGGTTCAGTTGTTCCTTTTGGCTGTCTTCTTGGTTGTCTTAAGTCCCCTCTATGCCTTGGAGCTCTTGTTTGGTTCCAAGCTGGCTGCTGTAACGATTGTTGGTGGATTGGTCTTTCTGGGTTTTGTCCATGGAAACAATAGTGCTGCTGCTGCTGTGGACCCATCAATGGATTTGAAGAAGGAAGTTTGAGCAAGCATGCACAAACGTGTCCCAAAAGTGCTTTAGTCTAGCTAAATGTAATTTTTTGAAACCAAAAGTTGGCCAAACAATGAACTCGCAGTCAACAAGTTAGTTGTAGGCGGCTCCCCAGCATGCACCAAAATGGGGCTCGTCTTCAGCCCAGGTGGCTCGTAGTGGCTGGTCGCAAGATCAGAGACACACACATGAGGGATTGCGTACCAATATGGTTGAAGTCCTCGCAAATGCATACCGGTAGAACTTTCGGGGTAAAGAGGGGAAGACACCACACTGCATTGCATGCTTTATCCACAAAGCTTCCATACCTTGGGGACTTCTGAGTACGGTGGCTGGTTGGACCAGCTAGTTGGACTGTCTTCTACATCAGCCGCTCTGCCGCTTAATGTCACTGGTCGGTCATTTTCCTCATTCATGTCCATCCAGGTGACGAGGCATTATTACCCGTGGTGTCAGTGGTTGGTCATTCTCCTCATTCATTCCTCCAGTATCATCCAAAAAGATCCTCCCTTTCACCGTTTGTTCTCAGTGTCGTCCTGGACCTGGAAGATAGGAGTTCGCAACCAACCAGCATGCTACCTCAGCAGCTGCCCATACAGCACAAACGCAACAGAAGAGGCGACGTAAAGGTATCGAGTGGATAGAAGAGACCAGCAGATCATCTTCGCACTTTACAGCTGATCTGCTCTTCTTGTCCCATTCTGCTCAACTCTGCTTTTTAACCTGATCAAGCTATACGGTGCCCTTGGTTCAGTACGAGAAGCATCATAGCATGTCCTCAGTTAGAACCAATGGTAGTGTTGGCGTTGGTGGAGTCAATGCCTCCCACCGTTCTTCTATTGGAGGTGGAGCTGTCATGGCCGATGGGGAGATTTTGACTTTAGACAGTCTGGAAAATATTCAAAATTCTGTGGAGGAAGGTGAGCAATTGATGTGCAGTGCCCGGTTGCAGTGTCTGAGGGACTGAGGACCTACCTGAAGGAGCTACCTACCGGTACCTGAAGGGGGCAGGGAGACAGGTTCAGCCATGGTGCAGTATACCTGGTGCCAAGATTCCTGGCAGAGTCCTTTTTTTCCCTGCCAGTTTCTGGCTGGCTAGCTATGATTTGCTGGCTATGGCCTCTGATCTGAAGCCGGGAAGCACTTAGCTAGCTAGCTAGCCATTCGATGGGTGGATGTCTGGACTTGAAAAACTGCATAAATCTCACTCTCTGCACTCTCCTGTTTGCTTTTGCCTTTATTTGCTGTATAGTGTTGCAATACTGTGCAGCGTAAGTGTTTGTGCTTGCTAGCTAGCTATGCATACCGGTATGCATATGCTTGGCTTAAGGTACCATCCATTGGTCTGATCTGATCATCTCTTTTTGCCATTCCAATGCACACAGCAACAACTTGGAAATTCCGGAAAAACTCAGACAACGTCTCAAGAAAGAACTAGCCATTCCGGAGGATGAAAATGTCACCAAAAGTGCTCCGCCCCATGTCAACACGGAACTCAAAGAGGGCGTCGCCAGTCATCAGAAATTCCTCAACGATCTACGTTTGTCTTCGATGCGACAATCGTCCATGTCGGAAGATACTGACAGTGTCAAAGAATCCATCATTGATCATGCCTTGATTCAAAAGGTCAAGAAAAATTCCGATATTCTCAGAGCACAAATGCCTCTCTTGGATCTTCGCGTCAAAAATGCCAAATACGTCGCCACCAATCACTACGAAGACGATCCAAACAAACAGAAAAAGGGCTACGACGAAGTCAATCAGGATGGCGAAGAAGGAGAACAAGAACAAGGACCCAGAAGGGCCAAACAACACATTGAAACCGTCACATCGGCCGGCATTTGCTTCAAATGGTATCGAAGGATCAAACGACTCGTCACCAAAGGACAGTGGCAGGACTACGCTCTGGATACTACCATTATTGAAAATGTCAACCTCATCTTTGAACCAGGCAAAATGGTACTCATGCTTGGAGGGTAAGTGAACTTGACTTTAAAAGTTTGCTTGACATGCGAGCAATCGCTTACCCCTGCACGTCTTGTCTTTGTTCCTCCTCCCCCCAAAAAAGACCCGGGTCGGGCAAGTCGACCATGTTAAGGTTCATTGCAGACATTCTTCCCAAGGGAAAGGACTACCAGCAGTCGGGAGAAGTCACACTCTCTGGAATTTCACCCAGCAGCGAGTCGCCAAAAGTTCATTGGCCCAGTCTCATTGGATTCATGGATCAGATTGACCGATTGCATCCATACCTTACCGTATTTGAAACTTGTGAATTTGCATTTCGTTGTCGATTGGCCGGCACTCATAAACGACCCTGGCAAGGATCCGGACCAGAAATCGATCAGCGAATTGCCGAGATGGATGCCGAAAAGTCAATCGTAAACCTCGTTTTGGAAGCACTTGGATTGACTCGTGTCAAGGACACCTTTGTGGGCGATCAAGAAAAGGTTCGTGGAGTCTCGGGAGGAGAGAAACGCCGTGTGACGGTAGCCGAAATGATGTGCATTGGAGCTCCCGTACTCTGTTGTGATGAAATCAGTACCGGGCTGGATGGTACGTACCACGAACGATCGACAACTTGGCTTGCAATGCATTGGATCAATGATTGCGGTATCCTTATCCATGACTCAATTCGCTTCACATCATAACGGCAGCCGCCACAACCTTCGACATCACCCTTCTCTTTGGCTTGGCTGCTCGCATTTTCCACCGAGTGACCATTATCAGTCTGCTACAGCCCCCGCCGGAGACTGTTGCCAACTTTGATGAACTCATATTGGTGAGCGATGGACGAGTTATGTACGCGGGTCCCCTTGAGCAAGTGATTGACTATTTCACCGACCTTGGGTATGAGATTCCAGTCAGAATGGATGTAGCGGATTGGCTGCAGGCATTGCCCACTCAGGAGGGAAAACGTTTTCTCAAGGGAAACGAAGGAGAACAGCCTCAGCGTCATTTGACTCCCAAGGTAACAATCTTCATTCGCTTGGTTGTTCTATGCGTACATACACGGCAATACGTACTTTGTTCATGACGCTAACTCGATCGTTCCGCATGCAACGTTCAGGAATTCTCGGACACGTTCTACGAGTCTCCACTAGGGCAGGAAATCCTCAAAAAACTCGAGGCGCCCGAGAAAGCTACAGATCATGACAAGATGATGATCCGCACAATTGGGAGTGCCAAGTTTGCAAACGGCGTATTCACAAATATGAAATTGTTGGCCCAGCGGGAGCTATTGCTGTGGTGGCGTGACAAGTACCAGGCAAGTTGCCGCTGTCAAAGTCCATAGCTTGTTGTGGATCGCCTCTAACCGATGAAGTGTTTTTCCTTTTGATCATGTGTCCGCAGATCAAGGCGAAAATCGCGCAGAGTAGGTCAATTATACATGTGCTGTCCTATTGCTGGGCTTTTTGGTTACTATTCCGTTCACCTTTGCCAATCTCGCTTTTGCGTTGGCAGCCTTAATTGTCGGCATTATCGTGGGGACTTTGTTCTGGAAAACGGACAGCCCAATCTCGATCGTCAGTGCCCTGTTTCAGTCCATGTTCTACTCTTGCGTGGCGCAAATGAACACAATTTCACGACAATTCCCAGAACGATCCATTTTTTACAAACATCAGGTCAGTTCGCATTCTTCTCTCAGACTCTGACAATGGGTGTCATTTCCTGGTGCTGCCTTGCCTTGCCTTGTCTTGTGAAGCTGTTGCTCCTTGTGGGACTTGTGGTATTGACTTGTCAGTACGCCTCTTGTCCATACGCTGGGAAATGCCCCCCACTGTCTCTTCTTCTGTTTTTGCAACAAGTCTCACTAACATTCCTGCATGCTTTTCCTCCTTGTGAAATTGACAATGGTCATATACATGTAGGACGCTAACTTTTTTCCCACAGGTGCATACGTGCTAGGCAAGAGCGTTGCTTCCATGCCCATTGCCTTCACAGACGCCCTCTGCTACGGAACAGTGATCTACTTCTTTGTGGGCCTCGCTTACAACGAAGGTGCCTCGATTGCCAACTACTTCATGTTTCTTCTCCTCATGTTCACTATTTCCTTGACCACTGGGCTCTTCTTTATGATCTACTCTGCAACCGTAAGCAACTGTACTGCGGAGATCTACCAATTTCACCCCATCTTTTCTTGTGGTTACTAACGTCTTCGGCAACTGTTACTTGTTTCAGGTGAGAATTGTCACAACTGCGCAGGCGTGCATGGCACTGACTGCTGTCGTGTTCGTAGTATTCTGTGGATTCACAGTTCAGCCTGATGTGATTCCATCATACTACATCTGGATCTATTGGATCAACTTCTTTGCCTGGTCCCTTCGTGGTCTTGTCGTGAACGAATTTCGAAGTGGCAAGTACGATGAGCTTATTGAAGGGACGGATATCACACAAGGAGAACAGATCTTGACCCAGTTTGGTTTTGTCGATGGCAATGGCGATGCATTCACCTGGTAAGTGGCGGGGATTGCGTGTCTTCTTATCACATACTTCTTGCGCAGTCACCCTCAAGCTATTCCGGCCTCTCCATCGTCCTAGGATGTGGGCGGTCTGGGGTTTCTTAGTCACATTCGGCTGGGCCATCATTTCCTCGTTACTCAGCGTGTTCTGCCTCAAGAGGATTCGCTTCGTAACCGGTGCATCTCTGGTAACGGACAAGGGCACTGACGAGCAAGAAGAGTTCGACCAGAGCACTGCAGTCGCAATTCCTTTCACGCGAGTTGACCTCACGTTCAAAAACATCCATTACAGAGTGATATCTTCCATTACGAATGAGGAGCTACACCTCTTGAATGGAATTGATGGGGTCGTTGAGTCTGGTACAATGACAGCCCTCATGGGCAGCTCAGGTACGATCTCCTCGCGGCTTCTAGTCCTGCTGTTTCGATTTGAAAACATTGCATGTCTAAACTCGGATTGGTGTGAACCCCTTCAGGTGCTGGAAAGACAACACTCATGGGTAAGTCATTGAGTTGGCTCAATAAGAAGCTGAATTTGAAGAGTTGCACTGACATCTAGTTTGCGCCCTTCCTTCTTTCCTCTACTAGACGTCTTGGGTACGTTTAACAAAGCATTGACTGACGATCGATACAAGCGCTAACACTGTGCGCGAACTCACGTTCGAATGTATTTGTTTCGAAACTGTAGCTCTCCGAAAGTCATCTGGGGATATCGAGGGAGAGGTTCGTCTCAACGGTCATCTGCAAGAGGAAACATCGTTCCGTCGTTGTACGGGCTACGTGGAGCAATTCGACATGCAATCTCCTCAGCTCACGATTCGAGAGACCGTCGACTTCTCGGCGAGGCTTCGGCTGGACGAGAATGACCCAGCTGTGACGCCAGAGAGCAGGACAAAGTTTGTCGAACAAACCCTCGACATGCTGGAGTTGACGAATGTGCAAGATCTGCAGGTTGGATCAGATGCCACGGGTGGTCTCTCGTTTGAACAAAAGAAACGCCTTTCGATTGCTGTGGAGCTTGTCTCAAATCCAAGCATCTTGTTCCTCGACGAGGCAAGTTCTCGTATCGACTTGCATGGCTGGATGCTCTCCTCGAGTTTGAATCGCATCCTCACACGGTTCCCCTATCTTCTCTTCTCTTCTTCTTGTCGCTTCAGCCAACAAGTGGACTGGATGCACGAGCCGCCGCCATTGTGATGCGAGGGCTGAAACGTATCGCCGAGTCTGGTCGAGCCGTCTGTGCCACAATCCACCAGCCGTCAGTGGCCATTTTCTCTTCGTTTGACAGCCTCTTGCTACTCAAACGTGGCGGTGAAGTTGTCTTTTTCGGAGAGCTCGGGGACGATAGCAAAAACCTCATTGATTATTTCGAGCGATACAACAGGACACCCAAGATCCAACCCGGAGAGAATCCTGCCACCTGGATGCTTACTACGATTGGTGCTGGAAACAGTTCGGGAGAAGTCAAGCCGTTTGACTATGCGGGCAACTACGTTCAATCTGACTTGCACCAGGCAGCTTTGGAGCGGATCGAAGTGGTCTGTGCCGGTCAGACGGACGATAACAAGGTTACCTTCTCTTCCGTGTTTGCCACTTCCGGCAAAACCCAGGCCATGGCAGTGTTGAAGCGCACCATGATGGTCTATTATCGAACTCCATCGTACAACACGGTCCGCATGATCATTGCCGTTGCTGTGGCTCTCATCTTTTCCACTGTGTACATTCCCTTTGTGCCGCCAACGAACGAGAGCACGCTGAACTCCATTATGAACTCAATCTACATTTCCGTCCTGTTCTTGTGTGTGAATGCCATGAACACCGTGTTGGCTCTGTTTGAGTTTGAACGCAACATGTTTTACCGTCACAAGGCTGCCGGCATGTACAATGCCCGGGCGCTGGTAATGGGTTTTACCCTTTCGGAGATTCCCTTTATCTTTACGGCGGCAACCTTGTTTACGATGCTGTTTTACTGGATTCTTGGGTTCCGCGCGGAAGCGGCTCCCTTTCTTTGGTTTTATGCATTTGCCGTGTTGACGTTGGCCAACTTTACGTGCCTGGGTCAAATGTTGGCGGCTTGTTTCCGCGACGCCGTGACGGCTCAAGGTTTTGGTGCCCTGATTGTGATGGGCAGTAGTATGTTTGGTGGAATCTTGTTGCGTCCGGTAAGTGTGGCTATCTATCAATCTCCGTGATCTATTGTGATGGATGCATCGGTCTCCTTCTCACCAGACCTTTGAATGTATGTACTGCCGTGGTCAGTCTCAAATCCCCAGCTTTTGGATGTAAGTACACATGTTTGGCAGAATTCATTTTCAACTACGGTATGCTGGACTATGATCATTGGCATTGGCATTGACACTGACTCGACTGTGTTTGATTGTTGTTCGGTACATGTGTACATGTAAACAGTTGGATGTACTGGATCATGCCCGGTCATTACTTTTTCGAAGGTTTGATTATCAGTCAATACCACGGTGATACGACTCGCATTTTGTCGACAGTGGGGTCTGTATTTTGGCAGTCCCTGGATTGTCCTGACCCTAACGTGGAGTGTTACGGTGAAGCCCAAGAGTGGGTTGCCGCCAACTTTACGGACTGGAGCCATGAGCACCTCCCGTACAATATCTTGTACTTGGTCTTGTTGTTTTGTTTCACGAGGTTCGTTACCTTCTGGGCCTTGGCCAATTTGAACTATCGATCTACCTAAAAAATGACCATTAGTTAGGAACACTAATAATAACTGTGGATTTTGTCAATCATGCCAGATCGGTTGCAAAAAAGTTCCACCTAGCTAGCTATGGCTAGTTCCACGTGGTATCGGTGCGGGAGTTACTTCTGGTACCCAGTGTAGATACAGATTTTATTTATGCATAGAGCTCAGGTTGTTGTGTGTTGGGAGAAGTTCGGTCTTTTCGATGACTGAAAGTCTATGCATAAATCCTGTGGTGAAAGTTCGGGTGACTGGACATTAGACATTCCTAACTTCCTGACGTTGCTTCCGTTCCGCGAGCTACCGTTGGTCGGTGCTGGTACCCAAGATTTGGAATTTGGTTGGATATGCATAGGTCTTGCAGCCAAACAGCCACAACGGCAAAGGCAAAGAAGCAAGAACTAATAGCACACTACAGGGTTTGCTCTGCATTTGTTGTCTTATCTTATCTTATCTTATCTTACCTTATCTAATCCTATGCTAATGCTGATGCTGAAGAGCTAATAGTAGTAAGGATAATCTATTTCTGATCGGAATCAAGTCGAGTTGCGTCCAGTCAAGTCGGATCTAAGAAGCTAAGAAGCGGCTGTCGGCTGTTGGGTGCTCTATCTCCACAAGCTCCAGAACACAAGTGCTTAAGCTTAAGCTTTAAGACCTGGCCTTCAGCTTGGATTTACTGGACTGAGCCTCTGAGGTACTTTACCAATCTAGCAACCAGCTGAGCCTTATCCATCCGATTATCGTACCAGCTACCCGAGCTACCCACACAAGAAAAGACGGGAAGTCGCAAGAACGGAATCTGAACAGAAATCTGCCTCTAGTTTGAGCTACAATCATTCAGTCAGAAAGACAGGTGCTCAGTCATTCAGTTTCCCAGTCAAGCAAGAAGATGTCCAACCAACAGAATGCTGGTGACAATGTCATGACCAATTCTATTACCAGTACTACTAGCAGTACTAGCAGTATTGCTCAGAGACCCTTGAAGCTGTTGGTCTGCAGTGGCAATTTGGGAAATGCAGAGCCAGATGAAAAATCTTTGGCTGCTTGGATTCCAGAGGATGGAAATTGTGCAGAGGTTCTGGAGAACCAAAAATACCCAGTAGCCACAAAGCTGGAAGATATAACTGTCTTTGAGCAGGAAGATGATAAGGATGACAGCAACAGCAACAGCAACAGCAACAATAGTCAAGATGAAAAAGAGGATTCTGAGCAAAAAGAGCAGCCAGAAAATAGAGAGGAAGAAGCCAATTCTAATACTAATGATAATTCTGATCAGGACCAGTCAGAAACTCAGCAGCAGCAGGAAATCCATAATCCCTATGGCATCAACAATCCACTCACACCAGCTGACAGATTTGATATCATTGTGCTGGGCATGCAAGAATCCACTTTTGAACCGGAAAACAAGGAAATGCTCGAAGAAATCAAAGCTGAAATTTTGGCCATGGAACAAGCCGGAGTCGATCCTTGCTCGGCCGAAGGTATTGCCACCATGGCCACTTCCGACGATGACGATGACGATGACGATGACGATGACGATGAAGACGAAGACTTGGAAGAAGACGACGAAGAAGGATTGGAAGATTTAGAAGGAGAAGAAGAAGGAGAAGTCGATGAAAACGGAAATGTAATCGAGAAGCAGGAGGAGGGCGAAGAAACTGATCCAGACGGAGAACAAAACGATCAGGAAGAGGATGGGGAGGCGGACGTGGGTGTTGTGACGGATGACGACGAGGAGGAAGATCTCGAGCAAGACGACAACGACGAGTTATCTGATACGACTGACGAAGAATTGGAGGCAACCTACCACCAGAACATTGAAGAAGAAGATATCATACTCCTAGACGATGCAAATAGTGTCGGCAGTGGCGGAAGCACGCCCACGTCCTCTCTACGGGCGTCCCTGGTGCCCGGTGCGGTCTCTGCCTACAAGGCTTCCATATACGCCGCAAAAACGGCAAAATCTGGAGCCAAAGCGGGTGGGAGAATGGCAAAATCGTCCGCCAAGGTCGGTGCCAAGGTGGCAAAATCATCCGCAAAGGCGGGAGCCAAAGTAGCCAAGTCATCCGCCATGGCGGGCGCAAAGGTCGCAAAGTCGTCCGCCAAGGCAGGCGCAAAAGTCGCCACCAAGACTGCCAAAGTTGCCACTAAAACGGCAAAATCGGGAGCCAAGGTCGCGACCAAAACGGCAAAATCGGGTGCCAAAATTGCCACCAAAACAGCAAAGTCAGGAGCCAAAATTGCTACCAAAACGGCCACCATTGGAGTCGAGGGAGTCCAAACTACTGCTGCCATCACCGCCAAGGCGGCAGAAAAGGTCGCTCGTACCGGTATTTCCACCATTGATACACTCACCGCAAGCAGAGATCATACCAAAGACAAAAAATTGGCAGAACTCTTCTTGCAGGATGGAACCGGAATACTGCACAAAATGATTGGAAACAGGCTGTCGTCCTACACGCGATTATTGTCCTTTCAACGAGGAGAAATGAGATTGCTCGTCTATTCACTCAACAAACACCATTCCGCATCCATCAAGAGCGTGCGAGCACAAAACACAGGAATGGCCGGACTGGCCAACAAGGGTGGGATCGTCGCCGAAGTTGTCGTCGACAAGGGCACCAGGCTGGCATTCATGTCCTGTCATCTCGAAGCGCACGAAGGCAACAACAAACTGGAAGCAAGAGTACAATCCCTGGCGGACATATTGAAGGGGACCAAAAAATTTGCCGTCCCGTCCATTTATCCAGACGCCTCTCTGTCCAATCACTACTGCTTTGTTTTGGGTGATCTCAACTTTCGAACACGGTATAAAGGACAAATCAAATACGAAGAACAAGGAGAAGAAGTCTTTGAACTCGCCAAAAAGAAAAAGTGGGTAGAACTCAACGAAGCAGACGAGCTGAGAATGGTACTGGACAAAGAAGAATGTTTGTTTGGATTTCAAACACTGTACTGCAAGTAAGTTTCATCGATCGAATGTTTCGTTGTTCGGTCCTCGAACCACCGATCCATGCGGTTTCTTTTGTGCTTCTGTGGTACTTGCTAACCTCCTTAATTTCGGCTCCCTGTGTCAGCTTCCCGCCCACCTTCAAAGTACTACGAGAAGATGGGTTCAAATACAAACCGCAGCGGACTCCCAGCTACACAGATAGAATCCTTTGGAAATCGGGAGATCAGCTTGAGACCAAAATCACACCACTCGGATACGAACCTGTGGAACATTACACGACAAGCGATCACAAACCTGTTCGAGGCGCATTCGAAATCGAACTCAATCAAAAAGTGCAACTTAAGAGCAAGCACGAACTACAACAGAAACAAGAACAAGAAAAACAGAAACAATCCAAGCTCAATTTCTTTCAATGGGGGAAAAGCAAGGAGGAGGACGTCAAAGAAGACGAGAATCTGCATATTTTCGTTTCGGATATCAAATGCGAGATCTTCCCGCCTGCCAAACCGACTGATGGCCGCGACTCCAGCATGACTGTGCCAATTGCTCAGCTTGCTAGCATGACTGGGATGTCGAGCATATCATCACGAGACTTTGGTGCGGGGTCGCTTGATTCCTACGTGACTCTGGTATCCAGCCCGCCGGAGCTGCTGCTGAAGAAACCCACGAAATGGACCCAATATGGTACTGCAGTGAAAAAGTTTTTCAGTGTTGGGGATAAAGCGGTCGACACGGACAACCAAAACAGTTCCACCAGCGGCGAATGGCCTCGTACCAACGTGGTCAAGAAAACGTACAATCCAGATTTCTCTATGCGGGAATTGCACTGTGTTTTGAAAACGCATCAAGAAAACGGGTTTCCTATCTTCCTCACAGGAGCTCTGTTGCATATTTTCGTATTCAAATACAATGGACGACAAACTGATGAAGTCATAGGAAGTTACCCAGTCAATCTCGAAGAGTTGGTTCGAAAATGCACAGCCGCAGTGAGCAATGCCAATAACAATTTGCATGCCAACAGTCGGCGACACCAACTGATGGCCGCATCCCGGCGTAATCGAATGGGGGCGAACAGCACTGCTGGAGATGACTCCATGGTCTCCGTCGAGATCGATGGACCCCTCTTGAAGAATGGTAAACAAACGGGCACCATTCGTTGCAACGTTGCTGCCTGGTGGGTCAATGATGCACTCGTGGCTAGTGCCAATGCTGCCAGATTGGGCTTGGAGGGAACGGATGTTAGGGAAGGCGCCGCTGACGACGGTAAGATTGAGAGTGGTGATGGGCCCATGTTTTCGACTCGTCGCAAGAGGCGCGCAAGTGTTGCCTAGCGGGCAATAGTCCAAAGAACGGGCAAAGGCGAGTTTTGTACATGTTCATGCAACCTAGGACCGTTTAGTGTTTCTTGTGCAGTTGTAGATAATCAGATGGTGTTGTATCCTTGTAGAAATGAATGGAAAGCTATTTGGTTCGATTGGGCTATCCGCAACCGTGGCACTGCTGTGCTACACTTCGGAGTGTTGCGAAGTTCGTGGATCCTGGTAGCCACGGCAGTAGCCAGCCTAGCAAGCTACCGGTAGCTACCAGTGTGAGAGGCGGGAAAGTCTGCAAGGCGTGTCGAAGCCACTCAGTTATTTCTCGGTGGATCCGCAAGTTCAAGGCTTGGGACCTTGTGTTGGTCCCAAATTTTGTTGCCCCTGGTCCCATGGCACCTTCTCTCAAACTTGGCCTCTTCTCTTCCGTACGGTACATGCATGCATTGCTACCAGTAGTAGTGGTACAGCTAGAGTGGTGGTACCAGGTACCGCTGGCTGGACCACAGCTAAAACTTCCGAGCTGTAAAAAACCCAATCACATGCACCGAGATCTTTTGGTGATTAGGGTTAGAGCGGATACGGAAGGGGTGTGAGCGTTCCGCTGGACTGAACTCGCGGGACCGTGCTGGCTACATTGGGTTTTCCCTCGAGTTCAAAAAGCTAGCAAGCACAAGTGTTTGACACGACAATGACGGGCCTCGGAGCTCCGTGTCCATTACTCAGCATAGCTCACAATAAACGAAACTTGCAAGCAACAGCTCCACAGTAGCATCAAAGCATCGAAGAACTTTTTTCTCATTTCTGATTGAAGCATGAGCCCCATCAACTGCCCCACCGATTGCCATTTCACCCTAGAAGAAATGAGCCACGATGACGCAACACAATCGACTTTGGACGGTGACGACTTCGATACGGGCAAGAAAATCTACCACAGTCCATCCTTCGACATTGACCTTGGCCAACTGAGGAAAAAGCAAATGGAGAAGAGAAGAAAATCGAAAACATCAAGAAGAGTCCTGGCTCTCTTCAGTGTGGGACCAGCACTTGGGCGTTTTGGAAAGCGAAGGTGCTCGCAACTTGCAGGAAGCCTTCGTTACAATAGTTGAATGAGGTCGATCGATAGCTAATGAATGAAGGCTCGGTCCTACTCTAGGTACCAAGCAGTTTTTTAAAAGACGCATTAGCAATGTTATATAGCACATGGCCGTCTCGTCCTACTATAGTCTCGGTTCCGAGTGTACCTTGTTACCTTTGTTGCGCACATTGTTTTCTTGAAGCCGCGAGCTAGCAGCACGTTCCGCTACGTGGGACCGGAGAGTTTTGATCCTATCTTGAGAGACGATCGAGTCGGGGCTATGGTACCGGTATGGCCAGGGAGAAATGAGACCGTGTGGAGTGTGGGACATGGCGGACTTGATAAGAAGTAGCCCGCCCGTGCCGCGGCATGGGTCAACTCCATTGTCTGGTGGCGGGGAGCGGTGACGGTGGCAGTGCCTTGGGCACAAAGATCGGGCCATTCGCGATAGCAAACTTCGTAGGTGAATGACTCAGTTAATGTTACATCTAGAGAATACGATAAGATATTCAACCATCGACTTTACAGGTTAAGTTACACTTTCTAGGTGGAGTCAAACAAGCAAACCCCGGACATGTTGAGGATTTGCACCCATACCGACCGATCCTCCTCCCGCGCTTCCGTCACGTCCGTCGATCTAGACAACCGTGCCGCAATCTTCATATGAAGTCGAGTTCATCATGACATCAGCTGGCTGTGAAGAGGTGCCAGACGTCACGGCGTCTTGGTAGCAAAGAGTAGATCCCGAAGCTTCCGTCAACACTTTTCCAGAGCAATCCATTCCTCGTTCGGTCCATTGATCATTGCAGTAAGCCTGAAGCGACATGGCGTGGTATGTCCAGGATAGATGGAATTCTTCCGAGTCGTCCACTTCGCACGCCACGGCATCAGAGCTCATGGACACAAGAAGCTGACGCCGTGTGGAATTATCAGCTCGGCCATCCCTGCATGCGACATAAATGATTCCCTCGTTGGATGGGCTGCATTGAAGGACACCTGTCACGCTATTCAAGACACAAGCGTCATTGTCACTGGGCGATATGTCCACCATTTCAAGTTCCCCATCCAAGCCACACTGAAGGGTCAACCTTGGTGACACGGTGTCGCAGTCTTCGGCTTCATCGTCGGCAGCATCCCAGCGAACCTGATAAGAAGTGGCCCGTCCTCGGCGTGAGTCCACCCCAGTGTCTGGTGGCGCGGGAGCTGTGACGGTGAAGGTGGCAGTGCCTTGGGCACAAAGATCGGGCCATTCGCGATAGCAAACTTCGTAGGTGAACGACTCAGTGCCAAGAAAGTCGCCATCGGGTTCATATTCAAAGGAACCATCATCATCGACATCCAAATCTCCCTGGCCATCGCCGACAAAGTCATAGGAGTCAACAAACAAGGAATAGCGGCTGTCTTTCACATCGTTGGTCAAAACTCCATTAAACTCCGAGACATCCAAGCTGCCTCCCTGCACCACGGTGTATTGGTCATTGACCGGGGTTGGGGGGCTGTCTGGTTTTTCAGGGTTGGATTGGACCACGATCTCCACCCTGGCTGTACGGCAAGCCACACAAGACCATTCTTCATAGCAGACTTCGTATTCAAACCAGAAAGATCCGAGCTCTCCAGGCTCTGGGCGGTAAGTGAAGCTGCCATCAGAGCTGACGTGAAGGTCTCCCTTAAAGCCGCTGGTCTCATCGTGGTCCTCCACCTCGATTTCTTGTCCTTTGTCAGCCCCGTCATTGCTGAGGATGCCATCACCCTCGGATTTATCCAAGCTTTCTCCCTCTTTTACTTCGTAGCGGTCGTTTTGCGCGTTGGGAGGATTGGGGCGCTTGTTGTTGTCTTCTTCAACTCGGATGGTAACCCTTCCTTCGTCACAGAGGTCAGGATAGTCGACGTAGCAAACGGTGTAGAAAAACACCTCGTCTCCTGTCCAGCAACGCCGAGCCTTGTATTCGAAGCTTCCATCCTCTTCAGTATCAAGGTCTCCTTCCAGCCGACCGTCCGTTCGCGGTCGGCCATCTCGGAAGATCGCCAAGCCCGAGTCGCGTCGATCATTGCCCAGAAAGCCCGGAGCGTTTTCTTCGAAATCTTCATCCTCCTTGACGGTGTACGAGTCATCTTCAGCGGTTGGGGGCTCGTTGGGCCTGTTGGGATCTTCGAGGACCTTGATGGTGACATTGGCAGTGGAACAGACGGCAGCCTGGACAGGCGGCTGCTGCCGAGAGATCGCCGTGCCGAGACATGCCGTGTAGGAAAAGATCTCAGTTCCCGTAAAGCCAGCGGAAGGAGGATCATAGCGGAATGTACCGTCGTCTTCGACGCGAAGGTTTCCTTGAAAAATGCCCCATTCCTCCACATCAGTCACCACGAGAGGTATCGCAGACTGTGACGTGTCATTTGCCAACAAGCCTTGTTGTACGAGGTTCACGTCGAGTCGGGTCGTCCCTTGGATCATCTCGTAGGTGTCGTTTCGTGCCAGCACAGCCTGTAGATGCCTTGCAACGTTCGCATTACTTTCCTGAAAAGCACAGATCACGGTATCATTGAATAATTGTTAGGAAGGGTTGATGACAACGAAAGCATAGTACCGTACAGTAATAGCAAAAGGTACAAATGACAAGCCCGAACCTCCAGCGTGAGGTGTCATCCATGTGTCCCACCTAGCTTGGACTTACCGATTGCACACTTGCGCTTCGAATGGTTCCAGCATTGCCTGAGCCGACGCCCAGCAGCAAAGCAAGGAGCGTGCTTAAGAGTGTTGTTTTCATTTCTTCTTCTCACTATGGTTAATCGCTGCCTGACTGGATGCTTGTTTTGTTGTTTCGTTGTTTCTTTGTCTTTTGTTTAGTTTGTTTGAAAGCTTTGCTTTGCTTGATTTGTGAGACGGTTCTTCATTTCTTGGGTTCGTTCAGCAGAGGTGCTCGCAAGTCCAATTGATCGATCGTGATGGGAAGCGAATTTCCAAACAATAATTTGCATGGAGGATCCAACAAATCGAAGCCATCATGATCCCAGGAGCTATCGCCAAATAGGTCCAGTCTGGGATAACACTGAAAGCATTTTCTTCTGTTCCATGTGCTTCGGTTGGACGTTGGGTGGAAAGAGCACCAAATAGCATTTCCCGGTTTTGTTGTTGTTATTTTACTGGTCTGCCACGTGCTCCTGAGTTGCGAGGTCGATGGGTGAAGTTCCGTGGGAGTCAAATTCTCTGTTCCGGAACATCAAACGTGCTGGGACAAAACGCCGAAGCTGCTTTATCTGGACTTTGATCGTGTCGGCATCAACTTGGTCACTCGGGCTGTACTTACTCGAGAGCGGACGATCGAAACGACCAACATTGTCTATCGTACCGGTACCGGACGGATGCATGCTGTACTGTAGGCCAAAGCTGAAGCCGCAAGGAGACTTTGCAGTGCGAGAAACGACAGGGCACGGAAGCAATTGGATCAAAGCTGCTTGAGATAGACAGCCTCAGTTACTGTGGTTGCCTACCGGTACCTATCTAGCTAGCTAGCAAGATCTACAAAGAGATCGATACATGTTTCCATCCCATACAAACTTCAGCTCAACAAGCAAGAATCGAGGAGCTTGTAAGCATGCCAATATTGAGCTATTGGACACCTTTGGCGGAGGGCTCGCTTCAGGTTGTGTTTTCACATCCATGTACATTGGTTTCTTGCACATGATGTGGTCCAAAATTGGGTTCAAGGCTTCGGGATAAGATCTTTTTTGCTGTTGGTAAAGTCTCACGTGCTTTTCTGATATAGAGTCTAGCATCTCACTCTTTCTGCATTGCACATAGACTACTAGATGGACGACAGATGGTGAGAGGAAGCGAATCGAATCCACCATCACGGATAGATTTTGTTGGGCTTCGGGATGGATGCTTCTGTCGTGCGGAACGCTTACCAAAAATGAGCATCAAATGAGTCGAGTCTCAAGTCAAGTCAAGTCAAGTCAACTTATGATCAATTGAGGCGAGTCGAGTCGCCCACGCGAGAGAAGATATCTTTCTTTAGTGTATGTATGGACTTCTCTGAAGCAAATTCTCTGAATGGGCTTAGTTATTAGGGGCTGCATCTCTGTAGGCAGCAAACAACAGGCAGTCTGTGCTGTGTGACGAGGAAACAGCGAAACAAGCAAAGAGCTTCAGCCCCAGACGACGGTCGCAGCTCGGGCATGGAAGCAGATACCGGTACGGTACATGTACATGTATGTGGTGGTGCGTTGCAGTGGAGGTTCGCCTTAGCAGCTACCGGTACCGAATCACTCATCAGTTGCTCCCAGTTGATGAGCTCACTGTGTGATCTTGAGGATGGGTTGCCGACCTCTGCCAACCGTGCCGCAGGGGAACAAAAGCCGAAGCGTGCTGTGCATTGTTCCAGCACGGCGCGTCATTGCCTCTGCCTCCATATTCACTTCATACCGGTAACCACTGGAACGGCGTCGTGAGCTTGGTTGCCAACTGTGCATTGCATGTGCCACCCCGGCGGAAATCGAATGCAGCGCTGTTGGATCCAATGGAATTGAGTCGAATCCAGTCTAGTACCAACTACCGGTAGTATCTGCTACGTACCAATGGCATTTGTGCCAATGTCAGTGACGGTTCCAGGCAGCTGTGACAGAGCTCCATAAATGCAAGTCGTCTTTGCCAGCGGACTGGACTGTCACACATCTATGCTCTGAATGTGGAAGCATTATTTGCTTGGTGGCTGGTCGTGGAAGTGTCAAAGTCGTTAGAGCCTCGCCGCAAGGCGTAGTTAGTTGATTGCAGCACCAACAACACTGCCAGCCAGTCCTTCGAGACAATCTTTCCCCGGTGTTGCGTGTGACCCGTTGCGTCTTTTGCCTCCTTCTACTCGTACCACCGCACCGGTTGTGACTGCCGGTATCCTACCGTATCGCACGAGCACCGCTTGAATGAAACGCCACAACAGTACGGTACGGCAGCAGCTTGACATACAGTCTAAGCCCCAGCGTCCCGGCAGACACGAGATCTACATGTACATGGAAGAAGCCTTTGGAACTGTACTGCATGTACTCACTCGCAATGAGAGGCGGTCATTTTGTTTTGTGCTCCAGCTCCTTGATAGTGCGACACCGGCAATTCTGGTACGATGGGGGAACTATCTGATGTATATCGTACCCAGGCCGGCATTTTACGTAGACTGGTTTAGACTGAAGCTATAAAGGCCATTGGTGGTAGTACCTGTTAGTCTACCATCAGCAGCTGAATGCGAAGCCACCAGCCAGCTGCTTGGCTTTGGCATAGTAGCTAGCTAGTGGCGCTGGTACGGGTACCATGACCTACCAGATATCAGACATCAAACCGATTTGATCTCCGGATCCGTCGTTTGCAGCTCGCCATGGCAGCAATGACCGTCGCCCAGTTTCCGTTGCAACGATATCGCATCCATCATCCAGCAAAAGGATCTTGTCAAGCTCATCAAAGACCCAAGAGCATTCAAAGAATGTGCCAACGGTATCGGTTATCGGTTGTGAGCAATTTACTGTTCAAACAGGTAGAGAGGCTATCGTACCAAAAAGGATCACAACACTCCGCTATCATTTGGGGTTGTGCACAACCAAACAGGTTCATTGTGTTCGAGCCAAGATTTAGAGAGCTTGCAGTGCTCCTAGCAAATGAAAACTTTCGGAAGGAGTCATTTGGACATTTGGACCGCCGCAGAAGACCAATTCTCTTGAATGGGGGGGTTCTTTTCTTACGGAATTTTATCAAAGCACGATTCCCTTGTTGTCGACTGTGACCGCTGTTTTGGTACCACTGGATAACACTTTGGTCCTTGGATTATTGGTAGCTCCAAATCCAAATCCAAAACACTCCGTTCTCACAAAATTGATCAGCTCACAAAAGCAAAACACAATCGGAAAGCAAACCAGAAGCAAAAAGTCAAAGTAAGTGATCGAAAGAAGGAAACAAACCATGAAGTCAAGTGCGCTTTTCAACAAGACCCAGCAAGATGGCATTGATACTGCCATTACAGCTCCGGATGAGGTGGCCGATATTGGAGGCAATGGCGCTTTGATTGATGCTGATGAGAATGGCAGCGATGATGACGATGAAAGTACTAATGGCAAGGCCAGCAACAAGCTCTTTTTGGTTGGGTTGCCTCTGGCCCTCCTTTCTCTGGCTGTCATTGTATTGACCCAGTTGGGAGATCAAAATATTGCTGGTGTGTCCCCTCACAATCTAAACCTCAAGCGAGGTCAACCAACCCTTATCAAGGGCGTCCCTGATGCTGGTGCTGTAACCCGCCACCTACTCCAGAGGGAGTTGTTTGGGACGATGGTTAAGGTCAAGGATGATAGGGAAGAGGACGATGGAGAGGAGGATGATTTAGGAAGATATTACCTAGGGCTGGTTTCCAGAGCGGATGTTGATTTGGCCTTGAAAAGGAACCAAGATACTGGTGAAGAAGTTGACGTGGAAGTTGAAATCAAAGGAAAGACGTATTTTAATCGTCTGGACGTGAAGAACATCAGGAAGCGCATTCACAAGGTAAAGCGTGGAGGTGGTCTCAAGTACCCTGGTCGTTCGGCAGAACTTGCCAAGAAAGAAGCGGAGGACCTTCTCAAGGATATTAAAGATCTTCAAAAGCAGACCAAGCAGGACCTTCTCAAGGACTTTGGGAACATTCGCAGGCTGGGCGAAGGCTATACTGATCAGTTTACAGATATCAAGGTTGAGCAATTCGGAGACCAATTGTTTCAGTTGGAATGTAATGATGTTGAGTGCGAAGTTTACTCTGATGGTCCCCTTCAAACTAACAATCGAAGGCGGCTGTCCGCAACATGGATTTGGGATGAACAGTGTGATTCTGACAGTGACTGCCCTGCTGACAGCACCTGCTATGAGCCCAGCTACACATCTGGTGTTTCCAGCTCCTACTACAACAAGTGCACTTGCTCTGAGAAAAGTGAGTGTAGCTTCCTGTGGTCCAGTGGTGAGGCATGGTACAAGTACCGTAATTTTGGTGATAACCAGTATACAAAGTGCACGCATGGATATTGTGCAGCATACTATGACTGCTTCTCTGGTTCCATGACTGTCACCACTCCTGCTGGTCAAAAGCGAATGGATGAGCTGGAGGTCAATGATCTTGTCTTGACTGCTAGTGGCAATTTTGAAAAGGTCTACACCTTTCTTCACAGGACCCCCACAAGCCGTGCCTCCATTGCCAGCAACTACTTGCAGATTGTGACGGATTATGGCAAGAACATGATTGAAATCACTGGCAAGCACATGATCTATGTGAACAGCAACAAGCTCCCCATTGAGGCCAGCAATGTCAAGGTTGGCGACTACCTTTCTCTTACTCAGCATGATGAAGCTGGCTCTATTGCAACCACACCTGCCAAGGTCACTGGCATCAATGTTGTTCAACGCATGGGTGGCTTCTCTCCCGTGACAGAAGGAGGCAGCATTGTTGTGAATGGTCTTGCCGCTTCTTCGTACAGCAACCCTCGCTATGCTGACACAGAATATGTGGAGATTGCTGGGAAGCCTCTGGTCCACCGAGCTACCTTTACTCACTGGCTGACTTCTCCAGTTCGCTTCTTCTGCCTCCATGTGAATGGAAATGCTTGCGCTCTAGACATGGATGGAGAAGCGTTCTTCCCCCTTTCCAAGGCTGTCGACGATATCTACCATACATTGAAGAATGCTGGTCTTGAGGGTGTGACCATGATGGTAGTTTCTGTTGCTGGAATGTTGGTCTACGCTTTTGAGCAGACTTTCAAGGCTTTGTGGCTTCCCCTTTTGGTGGTTTTGGTTGCTGTGTCCTTCATGCAGAAACAGCAGGTCGTCACTACCCCTTACCAGTTCCGGTTGGCCAACAAGAGCAAGAAGGTGGACTAATTAATTGAAAGCTGAAATGGTGAAATGGGTGCAAACAAAAAGAATTCATAGAAAGAGTACCACCCATGGCCAAATCGGGGTCACAGCAGCCACAGTCAATGCAAGCAAGTGAGCAGCCGTGGGTGAAGTTCATGTTCAAGCTCTCGCCAACGGGTAGTACGGTGTGTAGAAGGGCAACGTAGTAGTAATTCCATATTAGTAATTCCCACAAACAATCAAAAATTGTTTGCCCTGTTGTTCTTGCATGCTTCATCTCCATAGTCTGGACACTACATTGCTTTGAACGTTTTCGAGACAGTAAAGTGGCGTGGCCACTTTGGTCTTTGATGCCGACCAAGCAAAAGAGGCGTGATGGCAACTGTGCATGACGACTGCCGCGTCGGAAGACAGACGTGAAATGTCCGCCTCGCACCGTCCTGTGCTCGAGTGGAGTTGCCTACGGTAGGATGCTGTGCACAAAACAGCCTTTTTATCGTAACTCGTATAACTGGCTGGCCCGAGCCTAGCTAGCTAGCTACGGTACTCTACTCAAGTGGAGGATTCCAAGCTATTAGTATGCTGCGATTCCATGCTCTACATAGCTAGATTAAAGCTAGTGGCTGATGGCTGATGCACGACAAAAGCATTCCGGTGGCACTGCGCTTTTTAAAAAAGCTTTGAAGACAAGACACTTCCCCTCGAGAAAGTTGGCGCTTGTCTAATAATCAGAACCTTGCTGGAATCCAACGGGAGTACTTGCTCAGTACCGGTACTCCTGTGCTTAAGTCTTTCAAAAATAGTAATTAATTGAAAGGACATTCGATCGTGTCCCTAACTTTTCCTTTTGACGAAGGAACTCAAGTTCGATAAATAGTTCGGTGGTTAATTTTACAGCGACAACTATATATTAAGTATCCTCGAGTACAAATGACTCTAGAAGTACGGCTTTAAAAAGTAAAGGGTTTAGCGTGCCGTCTTCTCGGAATGCTCTTTGAATGGTTGGCAACTCACCATCTAAACGGTGAGTTCTTGTTTGTTTAACAGGTGGAGACCCTTTTTGTTCTCGGGTATTCGCGGGAAATGAGTCGAGTCAGGCTAGGGTGCGCCGAGCCAACCAAGCTACTAAAAGGTGGGAGCAAGCAACAGCCAGCAGCAAGAGACACAACAACGGCAAATCAGACACAACAAGTCAACCATCTACTAGCTAGCATATGCCATATCAATAACCACAACCATTAGACTATTGCAGGCCACATTGACGCTCCTTCCGTTGGTTTGGCTCCTTCCATCCATCCCTCCATCCACCAACCAACCTATACGTTACAACTGTAGCTATAGCTATACCAGTCATCGCAGCACAAGCGCAGAGGAACCAAGGAGGCTCAGCTACAGGAAGCTACCAGTACTGTATAGCTCTGCATACTGTATACTGTATACAGCAGTGTCAGTGCCAGTGCCAGGAGACCAAGTCTTCTCAAGCTTCAGATACCCTCAGCTCAGCTCAGATACCCCCATTAAGCTGTTCAGATACCCCCATTAAGCTCAGATACCCTCAGATACCCATTCAGTTCAGTCTATTCAGCCAGCAATCAGCAATCTACCCATTTTCTAGTCCAAGTCTAGTCAAGAGAGAGAAGATGCCCATTCCACCTAAAGCAGGGAGTACAGGGACCACCAAGTCCACCAAGAAGAGTTCCAAAAATGGGCTCAGGTCTTCCTCCAGCACTAGTATCAATTCTACTGCCAGTGGTACTGCTAGTGGCACAGCCATGAATATGATGAATACAAATACATATATCTCTACCAGCACTGGCAATGTCACCCCCATGCCCAAAGCGATTTTGAAGAGACCCACCACGACCAATCCGAAAACGCACAATCGGAAATTGACGTTTCACAACAAGAAAAAAACAAAACGAATCCCCAATGTGGCTTCCATGCCACCGGAGATTCTAGAAGACATTTGGTGGGCTGCCGAAGATTACGATGATATCATGAGATCCTTCGAATACACCGTTTTCATGATGGAAGCGGGAGAAGCAAAGGCGGTGGAAGACGACCAACATTGTACCAGAGGCCTAGAACTCAGAACCGAAGCCGGAAAATGGGCACGCTTCGAACACAAAAGAGACTGCTACAATGCCGTACTAGATGAACAAGATCGCCAATGGAACGAAGGAGAAGACAATCAGGACAAAATTGCTAATTGCTGTAGAGAAGTCACGGCAAAGACACAGCGCATTGCCTGTAGAAAGGGAATGCAGGATGAAAAAGATATCGAAAAATACGTCGCTGATACCAGAAAAGCCATTGATTCCAATCAACTACTCCATTCTTCGTCTTCATCCAACCATAACAACAACAACAAACAAAAGAAAACCACCAGTGCCAATGGAACCAAATCCATGCCTGCCCGTACCAAATCCAATTCCACCGGACAACTCAAACGACGGACGCCACGTACCGATTCGGGAAAGGCACGAGTTGAGAAAAGTCCTCCTCGAAAGCCCGAACGAGTACTCTCGGGAAAATCAGAACGAGGAGACGTTACACCCACCAATTCCTCCAGTGCACCACGGACGCCCAAACGAACCGTCAGTAGTGGCAGCAAACAATCCGACGGAAGTGCTTCACCCGCACCTTCTAACAACAACAATAAGGGAATGACACCCACCAATTCGGCCAAATCCAATACCCTACGAATGCCACAACGACAAACATTCAACAATAGTTCTTCCAAAGCCACGCCCTCGTCATCGTCGTCATCCAGACAAGTCACCAAAGGCAACAGTACCAAAGCATCTTCGACGTTGCCCAAATTACCTAAACGATCCGCATCCAATTCGTCACAAGCCACGGCCGCCAGTCTTGATAATAGTTCCATGGGTGGTGATGGGGATAATGATGGCAAAGGAGGACAACTCAGTGTTGCCGCATTGGCCAAATTTGGAGCATAAAATATCATATACGATACGATCGAGGAGGAACGGAGCGTTGTTTTGTTACAATGCAAATACAACAGCAACGACAACGACGTACTACCAGCTACAGCTGCCGCAGAATCGAATCGTCGGACGGCGTTGGTACCGGTCCTTTCCCCGTCATTCGTACGGTTCGGTGGAATATCTGTAGCCGCAATTGCGAACGATTCGAAAACAACCGGTGGCGGAGATCGAGAACGATTTTGTGAGGTCGCTGCATGCATGGCTACGTCAGATGGCCGCACGTGGATCTGGTCGGGGACGGAGCGAGATTGCCAAACGGCGTTTAAATTTTCTCAGGTTGGCTACCAGTCTGCCTTGAGTGTTGCACACTGCCCTGGCGACGATGACTCGAGTCACGGAATAAAACATCAACAAACCAATGCAATCCAAGTTGCCCCCTGCCCGATGTCGATGCGGACCATGCACCTGTGCATTTTTGCTTCTACTCTACAGTACGTCCGTCACGTGGCTGTTTAGCGGAGCAACATTCGAAACGACGCAACAATCAGTACGAGCATGGAGCTGACAAACAACGAGCAATCGTCCGACGTGATTTTTTGTTGTCACTGCTGCTGCATCCAACTTGGCCAGGACCACTACGAATCGATACGGTACGGCTGGAGCAAAGGAATGACTTGACTCGACGAAAGGAGCTGGACCGGTGAAGATATGGTGTGGAACCTATTTCTGCCTGCCAGTTGCGGGCAATGTGACGATGTGCTTGCTCGTGCATGGATTTCTCCTTCTCGATTGGAAATTGGTCTGGTCTGTTGGCGTTGGCTGCGTTGGCGGTTGGTGCTCGGTCAGCCCCGTTGCTATAATAGCGCATTCGGGGCGGCAGAAGATGAGAAAAATCAGTCGAAGTGGATGGGCTTTTTTGTTCTTTGCTTTCGATCTCACGGCACCCGGTCGTGCGTGGTTGGAGCGAAGGAGCAAGTTCGACAAAAGCAATCGGTCTGTACTACGGAAAGGTTCCTGATTTGTTTTCCTCGGAAACTCTCCCGCTGCGTCGTACCACAAGCTGTGAATGGGACAGAAAGGTGTTTTTTGCAAGTCGTTGAAACAGAGACAACAAGTATCTGCCCAACTGTTGTGTCCGACGCAACAGAAAAGCGCCCCTGCAGCGCTGGCTGGTAGGCGAAATTTAATACTTGTACCGTTTTACTAGCAGGCCTGTCAGAGCAACATGGTAGCCCACATCACTTGACGGAATCAGTATTGTAGAAAGTACTCCAAACACCGCTCCTTCAAACTTTGGATACGAAAGGGCAGATTGTTCCGCCACTCAGAGCACGATCGATTGCTCTGTGGGGAACAACTGCAGCAACCATAGCTTGTAGGTCTCAAAATTCCTTGCGGACTAAAGAGGTCTTTCAAGGGTATGATGCATGCATGGCTATGAAACCGAGTCGAGTCGTAAACACACGGCTGCTCAACTGATCGTTGCGTGCGAGTTCTCTCGGATAGATTTTGCAAAGGATCTCCTAAATCCCATCATGCCTAACTAAGCCGACCCAGAAAGAAGCCGACCCAGAAAGAGTATTTGCCTTGGGAGAGACAGGAGCGTTCCTCAATCGTGCATGACTTTAAATCCGACCCTAATTTAGGGTTGGTTTGGGGAATCCGTCCCTAAATATAGGGGCGGTTTCAAAACCCGACCCTAAAACGAAACCGGACCCTAAATTAGGGACTTTTTTTCAGAAACCGTCCCTATTTTTCAGAAACTACCCTATTTTTAGGGTATGTTTCGAAACCCGACCCTAATATTGGTGCGTTTTCAATGTATTTACCAGGCAGTCCCGTTTCTATTTAGGGACGTTTTTCAAACCTGACCCTAAAACGAAACCCGACCCTTAATTAGGGACTGTTTTTCAGAAACCGTCCCTATTTTTCAGAAAACGTCCCTATTTTTAGGGTCGGTTTCGAAACCCGAACCTAAAGGGAACCCGACCCTAAATCCGACCCTATTTTAGGGTCGGTTTATGCACGATTGAGGAACGCTCCAGTAGTACCAGTGCAATGGATCCAAGGGCTCCTGGGCGGAGACTACGTACCAGTGGTCTCAAAAGCATGATTGACATCCTTTAGGTGGTGTTGCGAGGGTCGACGAAGAGGAACTGACGAGCCCTGTGCAGATCATTCGTCGTGGTGATTGAGTTGGGAACCAAAGAGGGCGCTAGAGTTGGGAACAGAGAGGGATCGAGAAAGAAGCAAAGCCAAGGTGGGGGGGCTGCAAGCCAAGGCCATAAAGGAGTGCCCTGGGGACCGGCCTACGCAACGAATTGAAGCACGGTAGTTTAGCTAGCTAAGGAGAGAAGATGCTCAGAGTCCAGGTTTGAACTGAAGAAAAGTGCCCAGGATAAGAGGAAGCCCCAACTGGCTTCTCCCCAACAAGAGGAACCACCAATCTACAAGACGAACAGGGACATGCAGCCAGAAGAGGAACCACCTTGGCTGCTTCTGAGATCATTGCTTTGTCGTGGAAGTAGATGCCCTTGGAACAGCTTGAACGACCAACCAAGCAACCAACTCCCAGCGTCTTGACGGGAGGCGCACTAGTACCGGGAAGTCAAACCGCAAGAGGAAGAGGAAAGCCACCTCAAAGCAAAAATAGGAAGTGCCACCGCAAAAGGAAAAGGAAGTGCCACCGGCAAAAGGAAAAGGAAGAGCCGAGTGACCCGAAAAAGAAAGAACCGGCTTTACACATCACCATTGTCAACGGTCAACGGCCAACACTGCATGATCATGCAGACCTACCGCTACGAGGAAGAGACAAGGGTTTGAGGCGCCACAGTCTTCTATGAAGCACTGAACGACAGAAGGACCAAAGGAAGAGATGAAGAGAGCTACTCAGCATGAACAGTTCGCGAAACCTCAATTGGCTATTTCGGAACTGAACAAGACCTTTTGCTACTCTTTCCTGCGAGAATGGCCCAACCAAGAAACAAGGAACAAGAAACACGGAACCACCAACCGCTTTTCAGCGTGTTTATACAGGGTTGCTGCGCCTTCGAAAGGACACAACCAAACAGAAGAACTAACCGTTACCTTGAATGAGGACGCTCCATCTCCAGCTGGAACCACCGCAAGATGACACCTTTCCCAGCGGGTCGACGTGCAGGACAGGGCTCATAAACTGGCCACCAACGAGCCAACCCCACTGGGCTCCCGAAGGAACCACGGGCCCCCGAAGGGACAGCCGCAAGCAGACTGGAAAAGGTGTCATCGTCATGCATTGTCGAAGAAGAAGTTGTGGTTGTGAACAACAGAAATCCTCTCTTTTTTCTGCCTCTGGAGTTTCAAACCGTCGTTTTCGTTTTCGTTTCGGAATGCGAACCGTGAGCAAGAAACCGTCGGCTTGTGAGTCGTGTTGTGACGTCAAAGGATAACATGCCAGCAGAGCCGTTAATGGAGGTTCATCCTGTTTGGATCTACCGGTACAGTATAAAAGAGCACGGGGGTCTAGCTAGCTAGCTAGAGCAGGTGGATTCTCGACTCGACTCGACTCGACTCGACTCGACTCGACTCGACTCGACTCGACTCGACTCGACTCGACTCGACTCGACTCGACTCGACTCGACTCGACTCGACTCGACTCGACTCGACTCGACTCGACTCAGTAATTGGCCGTCAAAAAGCAGCACCGGATCAGATGTCATCGTCAATGCATAGCATCATGCATTCTGTTAATTTTGGCTCTCCCGTTCTCCCTTGCACCGGTATCCCATACATGTCTACTAACTAATAAGCTAGCTACAGTGCAAGGAGCTGGCTGTGGGGTGATACGAGACAGGCCACGGTGCGTGGAGCCGTCATCTACCTGTCTCTCTATTCTACTACCGTACTGACCGATGGTGCATGTACCTTGATAGGTCGCGCTCTTGATGTCGAGCCAGTGCCGTTAAAAGCTAGAGGCAACCTACCGGTAACAGCGGAAGCTTCAGAAGGTTGGAGGGAAGTATCAGACTGAAGGTAGTGCGGTAGCACCCTCGATGGCAAAAACCTCACCTGTATGTCTGTTGTCCTAACCATTGAATGACCAAATCCAGTCACAGTGACAATCATTTATTGACAATCGAGCTTTGTGCCAGGAAGCTTTCTTCGTTACGTACCAGTGTCATTCACAGGAGCTTCATCGAAAGGCAAAAGACCGTGAAAATGGGATTGATGAGCTGGTGAGCCAGGTGAGGGCACTTGGATTTGGATGTTGAATGGAGCGACGGATCTTGGATGTAAGGCGGTCACACTTTTTCTTTTCGGAACAACTCGAAAACAGCAAAACCAATCCTTAGTTTTTTTACAGATACCTAGTAGAAAAGAAAACTTGGACCATGACGCGAGTCCACTGCATGACCGTTCAAGAACCTGCTAATAACGGCAAGAATGGCAGTAATAAGAAAAAAACTCTTGCAAAAGATCCCGTGACTGGCAAGATCTGGAAGTCCCCTGGTACTAACCTGACCCCTGAAGAGCAATTGGAGCTTCCCAAGTTTATGTGTTACTACCAACTGGGCGAGACTACGCCTTACTACATTGAGACCATGGGCTGGGAAAAGACGGTGGGTCGCCTGAAGGAACGAATCTTGGAGACACGAGGCAAACGCGGCACTGCGGCAAACCTTACTGGTGTCAAGGACATTTCCATGTACAAAATATATCCGCCTGGAAAGGACAAAAACACGGGATTACCAATCCATCCAGAACTAGACGACATGGAAGCACTCATACCCACAAACTCGTCTTTTGAAGATCCCATTCTGGTACCTGCTGTAACTGATACAGAACAAGAAGCGGCATCAGCTGCCAATGTGCAAGAATTGGTCAGACAACGAATGCTGGCTCGTAAAAAAGCAAAGGCAGCCAAGAATGCTAGCACTACTCCTACTCCTACTCCTACCAGTACTGACATTACTGTACAAGTCCGTACTCCAGATGGAAAAACAATCCCTGTCACTCTCAACCCAAAAAATGACAATATTCTAGCAATCAAAGAAAAAATTGGTCCTCAGGTGAACATGCCAGTGGCAGACCAAGTTCTCACATTCAACCAACAGGAATTGACCAATGCAAACACACCAGAAGATTCCGGTCTCAAAGAGGGCTCTGTCATTCATTTACAACCCAACACCATTACGGTTCAAGTCAAAACGCACAATGGCGAACTCATCCCCGTCACTCTGAACCCTACCACCGACTCGCTTCGAACCATTAAGGAACATGTCGCCCCTCATGTCGGAATTGACCCATCCAATCAAGTCCTTTCCTACAACAACACAAAATTAACCAACGACGAGGAAACCGTCAAGGCAATGGGGCTAGAAAATGGCTCCGTCATTGATTTGGCTCCCGGTGACATTACCGTTCATGTCAAAACTCCCTGCGGAAAAACAATCTCTGTGACAACCAACCCAACCAACAACATACAATCCATCAAACAAGCCATTGCGGACGAGGCGGGAGTGGAACCATCGCAACAGCGGCTTACGTTCAATGATACAGAGCTGCCCAGCAATAATGAGGAGACCTTGGAGGCTATGGGGCTCGAGGATGGATCCATTCTGCAGTTGCTGCCAAATACCATTACCGTACACGTTAAAACACCAGACGGCAGCACAATTCCAGTAACCATCCAGCCATCCGATGATATATTATCCATCAAGCACGCCATTGCTTCGGAGGCAGATGTCGAGCCATCGAAGCAAGTCTTGAGCTTGGACGGGACGGAGCTGGTCAATGGCGATTCCGCAGAGACGGCTGGACTCCAAGATGGTTCCATCATTCACTTGGCGCCCGGCACCATTACCGTCCAGGTACGAACACCAGATGGCAACGTGATTCCAGTTACGATCGATGATCCAGCCAACACCACCATTCAAACCATCAAGAAGAGGATTGCTCCAGATGTTGGAGTAGACCCGTCCAAGCAGGTATTGAGTTTCGATGGCAACGAGCTGCCGGATGGTAAGAGTGCCGAAGCCACGGGCCTCCAGGATGGTTCTTTCATTGATTTGGCACCAAACACAATTACCGTCCATGTCAAGACTCCGGACGGCAAATTGATTCCAGTGACGATGGCCCCTTCGGACAGCATGGACTTTGTCAAGGAAAAGGTGGCACCAGAGGCTGGAATCGAACCAGAGAGGCAGGTCTTGTCATTCGATGGCAACAACTTGTCCGGCAACGAGACAGCTGATAGTGTTGGTCTTAAGGATGGCTCTGTTATTGATTTGGCACCAAACACAATTACGTCCATGTCAAGACTCCGGACGGCACATTGATTCCAGTGACGATGGCCCCTTCGGACAGCATGGACTTTGTCAAGGAAAAGGTGGCACCAGAGGCTGGAATCGAACCAGAGAGGCAGGTCTTGTCATTCGATGGCAACAACTTGTCCGGCAACGAGACAGCTGATGACGTTGGTCTTAAGGATGGCTCTGTTATTGATTTGGCACCAAACACAATTACGGTCCATGTCAAGAATCCGGACGGCACAAAAGTTTCTGTAACCATGGATCCCTCCAAGAATGTCCAGTCCATCAAAGAAAGTATTGCCCCTGCTGTGGCCATGGATCCATCGGAACAGATTCTCAGCTTTAATGGCAACCCGTTGTTGGACGATGCAAGTGCGGACACAGCAGGATTGGTGGATGGTTCGGTAATTGACCTCGAGACTAAAGAACCAGACGACACAATCAACGTGCTAGTAAAGACACCGGATGGGAAGACGATTCCTGTCAAGATGAAAGTTTCCGACACCATTGAATCTATCAAGAAACAAGTTTCAGGTGAATCCGGAATTGATGTACCACAACAGGTCCTCAAGTTTGAAGGAAAGAAGCTGAAAGACGGCGAAACAGGAGAAGACGCCGGCTTGGCAAATGGATCTGTCCTTCATCTCGATGTCAACAAGGCAGTATCCAAGAAGGAAGCAAAAAAGAAGAAAATGGCTAAATTGAAACAGAAAGCGGAAGGTGCATGTACGTCTGTTGGTCGTTTGCCCGAAATGTCACGTTCCATTCAATATTCTAACCCTCCTTTGTCTGGCTTTGAACAGGGATTGAGGAGAAACCCAAAGAGTACAAGTACGATTTCAACCCCACCCCCTTCGATCTGACTCGATTCAGAGCCCACTTTATGGTCGGCGATCAGGTCCCAATGGAAATGATCTGCCCGCACGATTGGAACGTGAAGAATTTCAAAGTGGAAATCCTCAAGCTGAAGAATGACACCAGGTTTGTAAAAAAGTACTTTGCTGAGATGGACAACCCTGACGGACTGGATATCTACGCTCCCGGTAGCGACGGTGAGGGCGACCCACTGCCCGACGATATTCCCGTTCCAAGGACTTCCTCGCCTTACGCCTTTTTCAGTGTGATCCGAAAAAGTGGCTATTGATTGAGCACGGCATGCAGCTGAGACTCCGATCCTGACGTAGAGTTGTTCGAAGTAATCTAAGCTAGTAGGGAATGCTCCACAGTTTGCTATTTGAAAATGTTCGCTGCTACTCTTCATTGCTTGTTCGTCCCATCGGGTGGTGCCGGCCCGGATGAAGCGACAGACCCGGCCATGCACGAGGCTGGAGCATGTCACCCTACAGCGATATCTGCAGGCCTTCCTGCTCAAGACTCAAGACATCGATGAACAACCTCCCCGTTGCCTTTATTGTAAAACTAATGCCGCCATTACAATATTGGAATCGGGAACGGACAGAACGAACACCAGAGAGAGGCTACGATACGAATTGCTGGGCTGCTAGTTCATTGTTTGGCCAACAGCCTCAACTGAGTCTTGAAAGAATTACTTTTACGAGTGCTTGTTTTGTGACAGGTTGTGCATGATTCAAGCTTCTTTCTTCAAGTCTATTGATGGTTCCACAGCAAGAGCATTATTTCCACCGACAAAACCCACAAAGACCAATCCCCCAACAACTATAGCAGCAGCAAGCTTGGCACCGAACAAGAGCTCCAAGGCATAGAGGGGACACAAGAAAACCAAGAAGACAGACGAAAGGAACAACTGAACCACCCAGTGCTGGGCATGGAACCAGTCGGACAAATCAAACGCCATCTGCACAAAACGAGCCACACCATCATGATTGTATGCCTGGCACCATTCAGGGTTGATCCCACCCATGCAAACCAAACGAGGCACAGTCATGAACACATGTGCAACACGATGGTGAGAGAAAATGGACAACACAGAGTGGCCTTGTAGTTCCATGGTTTGGGGGTCGCCATTGGGTGGTAGGGAAATGTAGCAAGAGGATGCAACGCCATCAACCACAAGGGTGCCATCCTGAGTCAGAGGAGCATAGATTCCCTTGCGCAGGACAGTCCCAATCTTAGTGACCACAGCAACTCCTCCTTGTCCATGTCCAGCTTGAGCTTGGGAGAGACTATCACCAACCTTGATGGATTTGGCCGTGACTGGGGCATCCTTCCCCTGCACATAGACCAAATGCTGACCAGTGACTTCCAATGGTTTGTAGGCACTTGTGGTGTGGATTTGTAGGAATTGGGTGTCAGTGGTGGCATCACTGTGGGCAAAGGCATAGACTGGTTGGAATCGGTTGTTGGCTGTCAAGACCATGTCTCCAATCTCCAGCTCAGTCATCTTGGTAGGTGCCGGTGCTTGGCCTTGGCCTGGTTGTTCCCTTGTCACAGTGGCTTCCTCCGAGAAACAAGAGGAAGGATCGGGAGCAGGGGTCGGAGCAGAAGTGCTGAGATTATTGCAAAAACACCTAATGTACAGGGCTATGTTGCTGTTTGCTTCCCATTCTGCACTAAAACCTGTTGTGTCGCTTGAGGATAGTGTGGTGGAAGTGGTGCTTCCACAACCGAATGTTTCAGCCAAAGTAGTTGTACCTTGGTAAATAGTAAGTCTCACCAAGGAAGCAGAGATGCAGTTAACTTCACATACAATGTCCGTGGTTCCACTTTGGGGCGAAAAGGAGGGATCAAGTAACACATCGTTGTAGTTGTCTCCAATAATATGGTCTAAGCATACAGAAGCACGGCACGACGTTGCCACCAATGCTATGGTAGTAAAGGTGACGATGAAGGGAGAAGTATACTTCATGGTGGGCGGTCTTGCAAAATATTTTATAAAATCTATTGGTAGCCAGATTTTGGAGTTGTGAGGACCTCAAGATCTGTTCCTTGCACCATGCACCATGCACCTTTTCTGGTCGCATATGTATAGTTGCTTTCGAAAATAAATGCTAAAAAGATGGTTTGATTAATTAAAGGAGCGAAGGGGGCAGTTGCTTGTTCATACCGGTACAGGCCTGTAAAACTGGAAAGTTACTATGGGTTGGTAGGCTTGTACCCGGCTGGTACGGTACTGGCGGATGTATGTATGTTGGAGGTCTGGGTACGTGTAAAATGAAAGTCGAGTCGAGTCGAGTCGAGTACCGGTAGAGTAGAGTTGGGTCGAGTCGAGTGACGAGTGACTCAGTCGAGCGCGCGGTGATACCGGTATTAATTAGCTAGAGAGATTGGGTAACATTATGTCACATAGGCCAATTACCCTTTCTCCCTGTTACAAATGACTTTTGAAAGAACCTGCGAAAACCCGAGCCTTCGCAAAAGAGCCCAAGGGAAGAGGCCTCTTCTGTTTCGAAAGAAGACGACGACCATGGCATCGCCGAGACATTCGGCAGCAACAGTCATTCAATCCCATCCTCTGCCGGTACTGGCAGTGCTAGCTACTGTACTCTAGTAACAGCAGTAACACCACCTCTCATCATTGCAACAAAAGAAGAAGAAGAATGACGAGACCCACCATGTCCATGTCTATACTGTCCGCACTTCTGCTACTACTATCATCAGTATGCGTGTATGTAGTAGAAGGCCAAGAGCAAGCGATCGTAGCGTGTCCGGTGTTCCGTAGTTGCCTCGACTGTCTGATCAACGGGACTAACTGTGTGTTTGCAGCAGGGGAGTGTTTTACGGAATGTACGCAAGGCGACAATGGCGCTTCTTGCTACGCAGCGGCGTCGCATCCAGAGCTAGCTAGCGACGCCATTTGCCAACTCTACCAAGTCGATAACCACGCCTGCACCGTACAGACAGACTGTCAGTCGTGTCTGAACACACTCAAGAGTGACCAAAATTCATGCCAATGGTATCCCGCTGCTTTCAATAATACAGGGGCTTGCTTTGGGGGTGGCACAGGTCCTTTTGGATCAGGTCAACTTACTTGCTCTTCTACTACTACTGACACTACCAGTACAGGTACTCCTAGCACGCCTAGACCCACTCCAGCAGCTACAAACCCACCTCAAACCCCGGAACCTACCACCAACAGCCCAATGACAAGTCCACCCGTTCCAGCTACAGATCCCCCAGTCACCAGTCCACCTACTCCTCAAGCTACGACGACGGCACCGGATCAGGACGCGGTTTGTCAGGCATCTGCCACGGACTGTCAAACTTGTCTCGGGGCTAGCTGCGCCTGGTTCCCCAGTGTACAAGCTTGCGAACTCGATTGTACCGGTCTCGCCGATACCGAGTGCTTTGCCGCATCTGATTCGCCGGATGTTAGCCCCACGGAAATTTGTCAAGTCATTGCCACGGCCGCACAAGATCGTGAATTGTGTGCCGCACAAGATGCCACCGATTGTGCAACCTGTCTCGCCACCATGCAGTCGGATGGATCACCGTGTCAATGGTACGTCGATCCAGACAATGGAGGACTTTCCTGGTGTGGTACGGGAACCTGCAATATGGAAGGCATTTGTGGCAGTCAAACTTGTGATGACAGTGCTGCCACACAAGAACCAGTACAAGAAGAAGACACGTCGTCGTCAAATCCCTGCTCGCAATTCAATGGATACGGAGCCGATGGATGTCCTCCGTGTTTGTCCAGTTCGGACAAGTGTGCCTGGAGTATCGATACCTGCCTGCCAAATTGCGATATCATTGCCGATGATGCTCCCTGTTTTCATGCCGATTCACGGCCCAACACCACCATCGGAGAACTCTGTGATTTGGCATCGGTCAATACACAAGATGCCAAATTGTGTGCCCGCAAGAATTATTGCTTCACCTGCACGTCCACTCTTCAGACGGACGAAAAAACACCCTGTGCTTGGTACAAGGACGAAGCGGGTAACGAATGGTGTGGGACGGGTGGATGCGATTCCAACGGTGTTTGTGGTGAAACCGATGAAACTGTCTGTCAAGTACCCACCGAGACTCCCGTTACAAGAGCTCCCACAGTGGCAGAGATTATTATCGACGATACAAGCGCCAGTACCAGTGGAGCTAAACGGCGACAATCATTATTCTCGTGGCGACAATACAATGTTGGACTTGCCGTGACGGTGTTGTTGCTGACGATGGTAGGCGTCGTGTACTAACTAACTAGCCATTGAATTCGAGAGAACTCTGGTATGTGAGTGATGTCAGCTCTGACATTATGATGATTAATTCCAATCGAGGGGTTGGGGAAGGACACGAGTGAGGAGGACGAAATGATTGATTGAACAACAGTCTTCCTTCGCACTATGGAGGGTTTCATGGCAACTTGGGTCCCAAAACAAGAAGTGTTAATTAAAAACGAGGAAAAGCGTATGAATGAATAAACTATATTGTTTGACAAGCAATTGATTTGCGTTCAGCCACGACTTGCACTCGACGATAAATTTCAATCTGCTTGTTGCTGTGCGCTTTGAATCGAATCCGTGCCTACACAGGACCAATTTCCTCTTGCCATTGCGAGGTTTTCATTCATCACCACCACTGCCAGCCATGCTTCTAGTTTTTTATACTTGCTTAGATTCTCCTGCGTAGACAGGCATCCAAAACTCCTTACTAGTACATGTAAGATTGACCAGATTCTGTCGAAGGTCGAATGGAGATCCTCCCTCGAAACAAGGAACGATCCCAACAAAATCAACGTTGTCTTCCTTGTCTTTGGCTACTGTACGCCGACTTTGACCATGGGTATTGCTTTCGTTCTATGGTACGAATAGTGTTTTACAAATGGCCCGGATTTATTTGCCTCCGGCTTCTTTGCGTGTACGACCCGAACTATCCAAAACAACCAAGAGAATTGTTGCGTTTTAGCCAGAAGTGTGTCGTGTTGCTTTTTGTTGCGTTCCGCTCTGTTACGTTGCATTTCTATACATTTTTGTCGGATCCATTCACTCGATGCTTGCTGGAAAATATTGGCGGCGGATCCATGAGATCGGGAATGGCAGTGGTAGGCGACGGGATGCTTCCCTCGTCGTCGTTTGGGAATTGCAAATTCTCTTGTAAATGCGCTGGCGGTTCCCATATATCGTATCCCTTCAAGTCATCTCTATAGCAATCCAATCCTCGTCCCTGTTTGTATCGACTCAATACTCGTTCTCGTAACTGCACCGCTGAGGCGGGTCCATCGGTGCGATAAATGGAAAGATAAATATCTTCGTAAACGAGCAATGCCATGCCGTGTTCATCGACATCCTGAATGAATGCAACCCCACCATGAAAAGGGTAAGATACAACACGAAATCGTCGGCGTCACTTTACTCGACGAAGCCCACGGCACTTACATTGGTATCATCTCCGAATGGATCATCAAGTGCAATACTGACATATTCAATCCCCATGAATCCAAAACTGACCAGGAGCACAATGAGTAGTGAACTCCAGAGTCGATATTCCTTGAGCAGCACGAGCGGGAGTGTGTAAACCCAGAAAAAGACACACGCTCGCGTCATTTGCACCAACGGAAAGGGATAGGGGGTGAAAATGAGGACACGGAATTCATGAAACGCTTGTTGGAATTGTTGTGTAAACATGAGCAGATCTCGATATTCATTGACGGCCATTTTACATCCCAAATAGTGTGGATGTGTCATGATGGTTTGTTTGAGCACGTGATTGAGAGTAATGGGAGCTCGCATATTTTCGTCAATGCGCGATCGTCGTCCATGCGACAACTTTCGAAAGCGTAAAAAATGGTCACTGACGGATTCGATATCGGCCGTGTCTTGTGATAGATTAAAGTATTCTTCTTCCCACGTGTCCCGTTCCGTGGAACTCCACAGCAGTGCATCCATGGTGACTCTGAGTAAGAGAATGGTTCTGTAGCAGACTTCTTGTCTCCATTCTTTGGCTTGTGGTGTTTGATTTTCGTACGTATAGACAGTAGCATGTTGTGCCAATTCTCGACAAGATCGATAGCAAGTGGCCAAATTTCTGCGATAGTCCATGAATCGATCGTAACTGATTTTGGCTCGATTGACAATGAGAAACGACACCAGCAATCCCATGAAGGAATGGCCAATAGACGAGTGAAAGGTCAAGTCGAGTTGGTCGTGCTCTTTCAAGTACGCCACGGCACACATCCAAGCCACATTGGCAACGCAAAACGGCAGAACGTTGGGAAATGCACTCCCGTGCATCCGGAACAATACTTGAATGTGGTTCTGCGCCGTATACGAAACACGGTGGACCCTGCAGAAAGATGCAGAGAAAAGTGTGTGAGCTGGTACAGTGCAGCATTGTCAATTCATACGGTATGCACACGGTAAGACTGAAGCTTACCTGTACTTTTGCTGTGAAGAATTCAAGTCGGTCTGACTCTGACTTTGACTTGTGGAGCGAAACAGCGCAAGTGGAGACACACTATTGCGACCACCGTTGGATTTCGACGGAGTGGTCGGGTTGTTGGACGTGTCATTGGCGCCTTGGCCGTTGCCTATTGTCTTGTCGGATGCGGGAGATTGCAAAGGCACTCGAATGGAAGAATACAACGCATTGTTGGCATTGCGAGTCGAGTCACCCAGAGTGGCGCTGTAGAACACCAACAGTGGATCACTCTCGTCCCGATAATGACGGCTCTTGCGGCCCATCGTGAATTCAATGAATTAAAAACTGAAATAAAGGAAAAATGAGAGAAAAACGGGATCTACCTTCAGCTAAGGGTAGCTAAGGGGTAGCATTAATTGGATTGTCGGATCTTTCTTCTCCTTGCTTAGCCTCGTCTCATCAGGGGTTGAACTGTACTAACAATACTGGTGGCTCTGATGCTGAGACTTATGACTGAAAGATGAAGGAAGTGGCTGTGGCTGCTGTGGCGATGCACAAGTGCCTGAAGAAGATCCTCACAGAGATCCAAAAGTTGGTGCTTCCCACCGCTGCCAAAAAAATGAGGGAACTTTTTGACACCACTAAAAAATGAAACGTTATCCCTATGTATCTTGCATCAAAATGAGATCTATTCGAAAGATCAATCGATAGTCGCATAATTCGATTCGATTCGAACCGATCTTTCGGGTAAGGGTACCAGTACTATCATACTAGCTAGCTAGCTAGCTAGTATCATAGTCTACCGGTACCGGTGCCTTGAGTGTTTGCCGATCAAAAGACTTCAGACTGCCACTCTCACAGCTACTAGCTCGCTATATAGTGTTCCCATTGCAAAGAGCCTCATGGAGATGCTGCAACACCTACCACACTACGAGGTACAGGTAGTCTTTTAAGGTGCCGGTACCAGCGGTGCGTTACCTCTATTTCGTTGTTGAGAGGCTGAGTTCTTCGAAGAGCGAGCGAGCGACAAACCAACTACTCAGTAACAGCCTACTTTTGATCCCAGCAGCCATTGCAATACCTACCATACAGTGTACGGTAACCACTGATTGGGAGCAAGCTTCTGGCTATTTTGGCACCGCTGACGATTACTCTACTACTAGCTGGTACAGCAGCCGTGATGTTCACTGCCTGTTGCAAGGTTCTGTCACAGTTGCTTGTTCCCAGGTTACCGTATTATCCACTGGCCAGTCATCTACTTACTCTTGGTTTGCTTACTCAGTTCAAGTACTGGTACTGGATAGCTAGTCTTCAGTAGCCGTAGGTGCTTCTCGCCTGCATGTTCTAGCTAGTACATGGTGTACTTGAGTGGCAACCAACCTAAGAAATAAGAATCGTTGATAAAATGAACCATTCGAAAGCAGCGAAGCGAACCTTGGACATCCTGGCTACTAGCAGGAAATTGCTAAATTGCTACCGGGGGTGGTACCGGTAGCATCCACGGTTATGTAACCTAAACGCACGCTCCCATCGTACCGTATGACATACGAGAACAAAGATTGAAGGCTTCAGCCTCCAGCAGGCGATGCCGAAGTTCCTTGAACACAAGGCAACTGCTGGCTGGTGGACGTTGGACGTAGATCTTAGATCTTTAGTATGTTATACGGTTGATTGCTCAATGGCTAAAAACAGGCGGAAGGCAAGGAATAAAACAACAAATCTGCCGCACTGAGTAGTCGAGTGTCCAGTAGGGCTATGGCTTTTACCCCTTGAAAAGAAAACGACGAACTTGCCTGTAGCTCGCTCCACTAGACTACATTTACTGGCACCGGAGAAGAGCCGAAGTAAAGGAGATCTTCGGCAGATCTACACTGGCTAGCTAGTAGCTACTAGCCAGTACCTGCTTACCGGTGGTTGCATGGCTGGCTGGTGGACTAACCTGGAAGCTGCAAGCTGCAACTGATAATAACAACTTTTTTAAAATTAAAAAGCTGCTACCTGGTATGATACTTGAGGAGTGCTGAAACCCCAGCAGATCCTGAAGCCTCTTCTTGATTGCTGCAGCTGCTGGCTACCGGTACTCGAGCGTACTGTACGGTACCATCTTGCGGCTGCTGGCCAGACTGGCTACATGCTGCATGTTGTGGTACGTGTATGTACCGTACTAGCTACATGTAGAAGTGTTGCAGGGTTGCAGTGTGCTGTTCCTGTTTCGCTGCGACACAGGATTGGACTCCTTTGCTGCTTCCTGGAGGTAAACTTCTTACTGATGAGAACCACTCATCAGCTACTCAGCTACTGTACAGTGCCAATTCGCCATCTCTCCTACTAAGGATGAAACTGCGGAAATTTTAATGGATTTATCACAAGGTTTCTTTGGAAATGTCCTTTGAAAGTGGGACTTCAATAAGGGCCTATCAGCATGATTCAGCATTATTTATTTAGCACTGTTCATCGTCCGAAGTTGCACGATCAGGTTCGTGGTTGTTTTCGTACTTACTTGGTACCATGGTAGGCAGATTACACTCAAACACTCAAACATGTTCGCTCTTGCGCCATGTTCCGTTTTCCACTACTTGATCGATTTATTTATTTCTGCCCATTATTTCTGAGTAGCTGATAGCTGGTGGCTTTTTGCTCCTAACCAGTTAAGGGCAAGATGCTGTTGTTTGGGTTTCGGTGACATGTGGTAGGTCATGTGGTACACTATTTGGATGCTCGGATGCTCAAACTTTGTGATACGACATACTACAGTTGCGTTCTTGGCGTGAAGCGTGAAGTGACGAAGTGACACTGTTAATCGCGTACGCTAGCTACGGTAGCTGGTACCATACTCTCCACTGGTATTGTCAATTGCCGCGGGAGGACTGGTTTTATGGGTAGGGCCTTTGCAAGAGCTTCTTTTGCGTGTATTGGATGCCGTTCGTGCTGGGGAGCCAGTGCTGCTTTGGCTCTTTTTCTTTCTGACGACTACAGGTACTGGTGGCCTGGTAGAATTCCTACGTAGTTTCTGTACGTCCCAGCTCAGAGCGAACACTAAAGCTCTTTTCCCGATCGATGAACTCAAGAATCCAAGCTCACAATTCAAACTCACTTTCACAGAATAACTAACTCTCAATAGCTCACCCCAACTCAAACCCATCCATACTTTCCCAAGCTATAAGTCAAGCAAAGAAATTTCAGTCCACCATGATGAATACTACAGCACCCCCCATGAGCAGCATCAGCGTTCCTTCCAGTATCTATCCAGCACAAGCGGACCCACAGCAATACCACCAACAAGCTCAGGCTCAGGCACAGGCTCTACCACCGCAAAGAAGTTTGTCTCCATCTCCAGAAGATCATGGTCAAAGACTGCTTGCCATGCTGAATGACGTGCTGCCTCTGGTAGATGAAGATCCAGAAATGCTCACTCTCATGCAAGATGTCACTAGATTGGTGTGTGAGTACCAGTAAACCTGTTGCCAAGTCAAGACGGACAACTCCGTTTTATGCATACTAGTAGTCACTCCTGACCAGACTTGCACTTTTGATAAGATACCCTTAACTTCTATCTAGATCTAACTACACTTCATTGCACGATCACATCAATTGAATGAGTTACTAATATTTCTAGCTCGCAATAGTACACTAGCACACAAGCCATCAAGAACCATGGCCAACAAGCAAGCGCCGGCAGCATGGGAGAGGGCAAATGACAGATCGTCAGGTCCAGGCTACCTGTTGATTGATCATGCTTTTTACCCGATACTGCCCTGATCAGGCAGGGTGTTGCCACACGGTACTCTTTGCATCTTTGCTCTTCCAGCCAGGCGTCCCCTGCAGTTGGCCCAAAACCTTTATCACGTCTGAACTCCCTGGGCTGCACAACCTTCGCTACCGTATGTCATACATACACTGGTTGGTCAAATCAAATCTCACAGAGTTCTGAATCCAGGAGTGCTTCACAGTGCGTACGTGTCATGTTCCAGTGGTGTTGGACGGTAGGATACACAAGAGTACTAGTAAAGAGGAGCCCTACTGTGGCGCACAAGTCAAAATTGCTTCCCAGCCAAACAAGAGACCCCGCCTTTGAGCAGGTGCCCACTGTCAAATAGTCCATGACATCCATTGATGTATTTGGTTACCAACCGCATCTACTGGAAGTGGTGTGGAGGGTTGGTCGTCAAATCGTCCACTGCCTCTTGCCATGCTCCATTGGTGGCTGGCAAGCAACTGCATAATATGTAGTCTGCTTCAACATTGCTAATCCCAAACGACTCACAGTCTTGACCAGCTTTCCAATCCATAGGTTTGGCATATCCAAACAGCTTGATGGTTATAGTTGAGTGCTTCGGTGAGATTGGCCTTGACCCAAGCTTCAAAGATTTCCTCTGGCCAGCTAGACTACTACTAGTAGCCTGCCGGGTCCAGCTTACCGGGCATTCTTCGAGACGGTCCAAGAATCTTGGTGTGCGGTGGCAGTACGGCAGTCAAGTGTGCGACTTTTGATTTTCTACCACGCGGGAGTTGTTCGTTCACACATCCTGGTGCACCAAAGTCGCGATGTAGTCCACGAAGTTGGCGCACCTTCCTCACACGATAATATCTATTGAGCCGTGAGCCAGTGGCAATACTTAGCTATGCGGTATGTGGACTATCATAGTGGACATGCGTTGAATAATATGAGATGGAGTTGCAGAGAAGACATGTTGAGAACCACAAATGCCGTGTCACTTCTTTCAGTGATTAGTAGTTATTGACGACCATGAAGATGTTTTCCATGCGACTGTCACTCGTCCTTTTGGCTCTCTGGAGTCTCGAGACCGCTGCTGTTACTAGCGGTTCGCTGCGTCGAAAACTTCCTGAAGGTGGCTCGAATGCTGCATCGGGTCAGATCAAGGCCTTTGTGGAATTGGTGTCTTCAACCGGAAGGATTTGTTCGGGGGTCTTGATCAAGCCCGATATCGTTGCTACCGCCGCGTCTTGTACCTTCTCCGATAACGGCGCAGGGACTGCGGACTTTACGTCGCAGGCATATGTCAAGGGTACCAACACTGAATCAGAAAGGGGAATTTCGAGAAACTGGGCAGATTATGTCGTTCATCCAGACTACAGCTACGGAAGTGAAACCAACAATGTTGCCGTTATTCTACTTTCTAGTCCCGTCGAAACAGTTGAAACTCTGGACGTTAACCTATGGACGACCGTGGATATTGGAACTAGCGTTATGGCCGCTGGATATGGCAGCGGAAGGACTGACAGAGGCAGAGACGATCTGACACTTGCATCGCTCATGATCTTGAATGAGGGCGCAGCTGGCTGTATTACCGGAAACATTGATCAAGTCATTTGTGCCGATAGTGATACCCAAGACATGGTAAGTACATGGCTACGCTTGGACTAAATGCTTGCCGTTGGCATTGTTGTTCCTGTTTTCTCTTTATTTCTTTGCTCAAAACCGAATTATTGCTATTATATATTTATGACTACAGTGCGAAGGCGACGAAGGGTCCCCTTTGATGGATGGGGACAACTTGGTTGGAATTTATAGCCATGGAGGAGCTTGCGACCCAGCGAATGGTTCCCCCAAATTCATGCGGGCGCCCTATTTCCGGAGCTTTATTCAAAACGAGACTTGCAACCTGAACGCGGGATATTGCAGTTGGCTCGGCAGTGCCTGCCAAACCATTTCGAATGCTTTTACCAATGCCCTGACCGCTTTGGGCTTTTATGCGAGCAAAGCCGACGAAGGAGTTTAAAAAAGCCGATTGAATTGGTGGCTGGCTGTTGTACTGTATCGGTAGCTATGTATGTGAACTGCTTGCTTCGACGGTGTTTTAGACCCAGAAAACTAGATTGGTAACCATCATGCATTAGATTCGCAAAGATGTGGAGGTCTTGGAGGGCTAATACACTGGTACTGGTAGCTGCTGGGATGGTATTATCAATAGCAGCTAGCCTGTCACGTTTAAACACGTGATAGTCAATTAGCGCTTTCTCTGTGTGGGTGCCAAGCGTTAATAACAACGTCATTGAGAGATTTAACGATGTATCTTTAGATCTAGCCGTCGACCGGCAAAGCAGCGCCCAACAACACAATTGAGACACCAGAAAATCGAAAATCGAGCAGTCAACACGGACAGAATACGAGTACAGTACCAGTAAGGGTTATTGTAACATCGACAATGGTCAAGAAGCACTACCAGCTTCCTTCGTCTCCCTACCGTACACACTACCTGCTCTACAAGGCTGATTTTTCTGCGCGTTGGCAAGAGATCTAAAGGTGCACATCATCTAGCTAGCTAGAAAGGCAATCCTTCTTCCACTCCCGCGTCTTCTTCTTCCTGCTCTCGAGCAAGCCATGAGCCGGCCCGGTACAAGCCTACGATGGCTTTCCCTTGAAAGTAGACATCAAGCAACTCGGACGAGACTCCTGTGATGAGGACAGTTGTTGCGAGTCCGTGTTTCTCCTCGAGAAATGCGTAGCACGAGAAAGCCACAGCTCTCTGTATCCGTTCCATGCAGAAGGCGAGGAGCTTCAGGTGGACCATCTGTCGTTGAGTAAATGGCCCGTTGCCACGAAGGTGCCGGAACACGAAGAGTCCGTATTGCCAGAGCTCCGCTGTAAGGTAGAGCATCACAGCAAGAACGAGGGCTTCTTCCCAATCGTTCTCTTCGTTGGCAGCCGGGATTCTCCACGACCCCGTCATGGCAAAGGAGAAAGAGTGGTGCATCGAGTAAAACACCCTGAAGCTTGGATGAAGATTGTTCCACATGGCAAGGATGCCAACCATATGGAAGATGTAGGATCCAAAGTAGATTGGGCTCCAGTTTTCAAGAAACACATCGCTTCCGCATGCATAGAGAATGACAAAAGTGCAACAGACGATGCTCTCCTGGAGATAGTGCGAGCACTCAAAGGCTCCTCTCACGGACACGCCGCGCAATGAGCAGTACTCAACAGAAATTCTAATCAAGTGGCTCACACAGAACACCACAAGCGCGTTGTACAAGACATGACCGGCAGCATCATTGTCCAACACTACCAGCGTGGAAAGCCACCAAACTGTCGCAGCTGCGAATGCCAAACTGGCAGTCTTCCTTCCAACAGTCCACTCGCTTTGCAGTGACTCCAACAAGACCTGGTTCAGTACCGGCTGTGCTCCAACTTGGTCTTGCACGGCTTCCTCGTCAATTGTAGGAGGATTGGAAGAGGAGGAATCGTAGGGTCCGAACGTAGATTGCGTCGCAGTCTTTTCCATTGTGTGGAAACTGGACGCAGGGGTTGATGTGGTGGTATCCAAGGCATTGATTCTTTTGGAGGCTTCCTTTTGTGCCGCGTCGATAACGCCCAACTCTTTGCTGCTGTGTTGAACACGTAACTTCCTGCTCGAGTTGATTGCATCAGTCAGGGTCTCAATAGAGAAGTCGTCTGTGATTTGGGACACTTTGAAAGTCTGGTCGCCTGACTGCTCATGATTTTGCCAGGTTCACATGCAAGTGAGTGTTGGCAAACGATGTGATGCTTGGGCACAGGGTATCAAAACACAGCATCACTTACCTGAGAATGGATTAGGTTGACAACTTCCATAGACGAGAGCGAGTCCAAGCCAGCTTTCTTCAGAGACGCCTGCTTCTTGTATTGCTGCGGCTTGCCACCCAAAATTCTGGCAACAGCCACCTGAGCATCTTTATGGGTATACTCAAGGGCACCAGTTCCGAAAGTGATGCATTGCTCCGCCTTTGGCTTCATCTCATAAATAGAAAAAACACCGGATCTTTGGCTAGTTGCAATTTCGAGGAGGCTATCGAGGACGTCATCAATCCGCATGCATTCACAGTCCATTCGCTCCAATACCGCTCTATGAGATGCTGCTTTGGTGATGAATCCAACATTGTCGAGAGGCCCGAGGCGACAAGAAATCGTGTTTGGGTCCACCCGAGCGAAAGCATCAAGTGAGGCATTAGCAAACCCATAGTTCGTTTGCATGGCGTTCCCAAAATACCCAGATATGGAGGAGATTGCCACAACTGGCACGTCAAGCCAGCACTCTCGGAGTCGTTTGTAGCCATCAACTTTGACATGCAAAACATCGTCCCAGGCATTGTGGCTCATCTGGTCCATCCTCATATCACGATACACAGTAGCACAGTGCCAAATGCGGTCTGGGGCAGCGGAATTCCGGCTGAGATCCAAGACACTTGTTTGCAAGAGAGTCACCTTGCAGCCCATTCTCTCGATTGCTTGGATCTGGTGGCGTTGAAACTCGTTTGTGACACCGCTTCTTCCGACAAGCACGATCTCACGGCAACCTTCCTCTGCTAGACGGACAGCAAGACTCAAACCAAGTCCACCAAGCCCCCCTGTGATCAAATGAACTTGACCATAAACAGAGATGCGTCTCCGGGTCACCCTCAACGGAATCGAGCCGAGGCCTGTGATGACTATCTTGCCCTTGTGTTTGCCTTGGCTCATGAATCGGAAAGCGTCAACCGCTTCGTTAGGTTTGAACGCTGTCACCGGTAAAGGAGATATCTCGCCTTGTTGAAAGCCCTCTTCCAGCCACGTGTTCCAGAGGTGAGCATAGCTGGGGTCACAGAGAAGGGGAAGCAGATCAACAACATGAAACGATATGTTCCGTTCCAACAACCCTTGCCCAATAGCTGTGTTCTGCAGCACATCGTACTTGCCCAGCTCCACAAAGTGTCCCGCTGCTTTCAGGCATCGCAAACTTTGAACTTGAAGCCCACCAGACAACTGGTTTAGTACAACGTCCACGCCGCGACCTCCCGTCGCTTGCATCACTGTTTGCACAAATCTGTCGGACCTAGAGTCTCCAATCATTTCATCTTTCAGGCCTGTTCGTTCTTTGAGGTATGCTCGCTTTGCAGCACTGCAAGTGGCGATGACCCGGTACCCACGCTTCAACGCAATGTTCACGGCAGCCATGCCGACACCTCCGGTGGCGCAGTGAACCAGAATGCTTTGTCCTGGCTTCATTTTCGCTTTGCCTAGCATACTGAAGTAGGCAGTGAGATACACGATGGGAATCGTCGCTGCTTCCTCATCCGAAAGCCCTGATGGCGTAGGAAAGCAATACACAGGATTGCAATGGGTGCTCATTGCTTCCGTTGCTACTCCAAAGACACGCTTTTCCGTAGATTTGTCGACACCACTGAACTCCAACCCGAGGGAAATATCCTTTTCCTTTAACTGTCCCATTGCTCTCATGACATCACGGAAGTTCAGGGCCGCAACGCGTACTTCCACCTGGTACGCTCTCTGGTCAATTGGGATCCATTCCAGCGACTCAAGAAGGCCGGGCTTCACCGCTTTGAGCCGAGCATCGAAGACTTGTGGCCCTCGAGCCTCGTCAGCTTCCATTTTGGTTTCCACGAAAACGCCGTGCTTGTGTCCTCCTACAATGTAGTTTTGGCGCATTTGTTTCGAGAGTCCAGGACAGGTATTCGAACCATCCGTGCCTTCATATGCCATGGCGAATTGATCCCTCTCCCACCGAAGGCAGGCGACTGCTCCTGACGATCCTGTTCCAGTCCAAACAACCGGATTCTTGGCGGGAACTTCGGTCCAATTGTAAGCAACCGAGGCCCTTGGCGGTGTTGTGCATCGAACGAGTCTGATGGCGCCCCACCGAGCCACCAGACAGCTGCTACTGCCAGGGGTCTCTTGATCCACTGTTAGCAAGAGGTTGGCATCAACAGTGTTGGCATCAATAGTGGCGAAATCCGAAATAACGAGAGCCCGTGTTGATTGAACTTCGAGAGGCAACCTCTGCGAACGGAGCTTGCTGACGATGCTTGCTAGAGCAGGGTGTTTCACAGTTCCTTGGACTCGGAATTCGTTTGTTTCGCGCATCAGTAGGTTGACCAGGAGCTCGTCAGCGAGGGGGGTATCGGTCTCGCTGTACTCTACGAATTCTTCTCGGTACGTGGAAAGTGTCTTGCCTGGGACGGGGAGGTAGTCAATGCGCACGTCCTCGAAGGAGACCGATTGGGTGGCGTAGCAATTGCTCGACAAACAACGAAGATTCAAATCGGCATTGCCAAGGTCATTCTCCCACAAGCAGACACGGTTGGCCCCCCTTGGGTATCCAAAGGCCTGGACTTGAAAGAGATGGTACTGGAAGAATCCATCAAGATAGGAAACCCAATCCAATGGTCGAGTTGTGTAGGTGCACTGCTGGGTGGAAATCTTGTCTAGCATGATGTAGCTGAGGTCATAAGCGTATCCCATGCGTCGGATGTGGGAGTAGAAGAGACTACTCGAAACCCCTTTGCCTGTCGGCTTGATAGCGTCGGGTGGGTGCAAATTTGAAGCCATTGCACGCACTCTCCCACTGGCGTAACAAGTTTGGCAGTCAACATCCCAGGCTTCACAAACTTCACCTACCTGGCGCACAAGGAGCTCAACTTCTTGCTGCGTCTCGGAAATAACTAGAGGTGTGATCACACGGAAATCAAGTATCTCGGTGCGTTTCTCGTAGTTATTGGCGCTCCAGAGGGCATACATGAAACCTGCTGCGGGAAGGATGGTTTGGCCCCTGACGACATGGCCTCGAAGCGACTTGAAGGGATCTCTACTTAGGTCGAACACAACCTTCCTTCCGTCTGATCCCTTTGAGTTCAGATCGAATGCGTCCCATTTTGGGATAGAGAAGCGACTTTGCTGTCCCCAAATGTTGGGGTAGCGTTCGTCAAAGCAAAGAGTCTCCCTTTCATCGGAGTCTGCTTTTGCTTCTCGGGTTCCCTTCTCCGTCTTGCTTCTTCCAATCCAAGGATGGAGTTTATCGAGGATCGAGTTGATGTCTACAAGCTCACCCTGCTGGACTAGACCCACGCGCTGCAAATCGGACCTTGTCCGCTTGATCTAAATATATGCCGAAGCGCGTTGGGATGGATGCAATAGCAATGATTACCGTGAGACGGGGTCTACCAACGAGACCAAACAGGACAGAAAACACAACACAACAATCATTCCACGTACCTGTGCCAACAAACCGCTTGAGGGACCAATTTCCACCACAGTTGAGGAAGCGGGTAGCTTTTCGATTGCCTGGTGAAAATAGACCGGACCGCAGATGTTGTCGAGAAGGTAGTCAACCGAGAACACATCATTCCGGCTGGTTGAAAGCCACGACAAAGGCAAAGGCGCTTCTTCGGTCTCCCCGAATCGGCTCTTGAGGGTTTCTCGGAATGCATTTAGGTAGGGTGCATGGTAGGCCACTTCGTCCGTGTCAAGCTCGCGAATGAACATCCCATGATCTTTACTTCGCAGCAAAGCAAGAACCTGATCAACCTCGGCTGCTGGTCCACTCAATGTCAGTCCCGAAGGAGAATTGTAACAGGCAATGCATGTTTGACGGAACCCAAGTTCAGCGAGGGCTTCTTCTACGGGTGCGGGACGGCACCCAACAACCGCCATCTTGCCCCCAAGACGGAGACTTTCCACTGCATCAGCCGGCACAGAATCTTTGATGAGAGTTTCCTTGAGCCACTGAGTTTTCCCCGAAGACGAAGACATCGTGTAATCGAATCCGTCCAAAGGGGGGTCGTTGTAAACGTCGAGGCGGAAGTCCTTGCGGATACATGCTGCCACAGTGGCGCGCACCTGGGCAACCTTCATCACCTCGGCACCCGTCTGAATACCTCCCAAATAGGCACAGGCAATTTCACCCAATGAATGCCCCAGGAAGTAGTCTGGATGAATTCCCTTCTCAGCCAGCAGGTTGATGAGCCCGAGCTGGAAGCTTACAATCCCAATGCAACCGTATTCCTTCTGCATCCATTTCGTGCCATTCGCATACAGTTCCAAAAGTGGGATGCCGGTTGCTTTGTCGAGTTGTCGGATTGTATTGCGGAACGACTCAGAGGTTTCCATCAAGTCTTGTCCCATCCCAATCCATTGGGAGCCTTGACCGTCAAGGACAAAGACTAGAGGCGAGGCGTCAACCCACTGATTCTCCTTGAACTCAAATGGAAAGTTGCAATGGTTTCCAATAGCCCGCTGCAAGGTAAAGAAGTTTCGGTGGCACTCCAGGAATGTACTGCCAGGAGTTGCGGCAAATGGGCTACTGGCTGGGCTCGTGGGTGAGCGGACAAATTTCTTTTGTTTGCATGGCACAAGGACAGCGCAAGCGTTGGCCCCTCCAAATCCAAAGCTTGACACGGTGCATGGCGCAGGTTGCCACGGTTGAGTCTTCTGAGGAATGACAAACTTGCCATTTTGAATGGGCAAATGTGGAGAGTGGCGAAAGTCAAAGTTTGGAAATATCATGTTGGTTTCCATCATCAAAAGGACTTTGGCAACACCCATCAACCCGGACGCGGCTTCAGCATGTCCCATGTTGGACTTGACAGAGCCAATGTACATTTTATGATTGTAGAACTTGTCGAGGGCGGCCAGCTCTTCCTTGTCACCAGCGGTTGTTCCAGTGCCGTGTGCTTCGTGAAAGGTTACACTGGATGGCCCAATTGATTTGGACTCGGCAAATGCTTGTTGGAGCACTTGGAATTGCTGGGCGGACGACGGATACGTGATGCCTGGGATGCAAGCAAAGAGGAGGGGCATGTGATTAGTGGTTGATAAACGACAGGACCTGAGTTTTGCAATTTGTGTGAGTGATATTTACCTTCTGGAGTATAGCCATTGGTGTTGGTGGCCGTGCCAGCCACTGTAGCGTATCCTCTTGCTCCTCGTTCCAGAATGATGCAAGCAATTCCGTCGGATCGGCAATAGCCATCCGCCCGCGTGTCAAAGGAATGACAGTGTCCAGTGGGGGAGAGCATGTGGAATGCATTGAAGCATTCATTTTTGTGTGGGTCTAAAGTGAGTGAAATGCCAGCCACAATGGCCCGGTCAATCAAACCACTGCGGATGTCACGGAAGGCCCGGTCGAGAGCGACCAATGAGGAGCTACACGCGGTGTCAATGACCATACTTGGACCGCTTAGGTCGTAAAAGTAGGAGAGTCGGTTGGCTGCCATGGATTGGGCTCCATTGACGAGTTCATATCCGCTCTTTTTCTGCCCATTTGGAGGTGATGGTCCAGTGGTGAGAGTGACGTAGTCTGAGAAGATGTGCCCAACATAGACACCTGTTTTGCTGCTGCCTCTGAGACTTTGAATGTTGATTTGAGCATCCATCAGGGCTTCGTAAGATACTTTCAGCAAGAGCCGGATGGACGGACACATGGCTTCCGCTTGCTTGAGACCTAGCCCAAAAAAGGAAGGTTCAAATCGTTCCAGATCTTCATCCTTCAAACGCCCTTGTCGTGGCGGGAGGCCCAGAAAGCCGTGGGGATACCGAGTCTGGGAGGTCGTCAAGTCCCGCCCCTCTTGCAGCGCCCGTGCAAACTCAGGCACCGAGGAGCAGCCAGGAGCTCGCAAAGAGTACCCAACAATGGAGACAATGTCTCCTTCATCACTTTCGTGGCTCTTGGAATGCGTCATGTCTCCTTGCCTTGCTTCGGGTGAAACAGTATCGCCAGAGTATAGCTTGCAGAAACAGAAATGTATCTAGCCGTGGATACCGTAAAAGATCAGGAGGACTCTGGGAAGATGCCGCACTTGATGAATGTTTGGCAATTTGATGAATATTGATGAAAATGAACTGTATGTGTTGACTGGTGATGTATTTTTGATTTATGTGTTGAATGGTGATTAATAGTGCTGAAAATGTAGTACTGTTTTACTATAGGTGATGATGAATTGGGATAAACAATCTGAGTATGTGACGAATTTGGTAGAATGATGATGAAAAATGGCCTAGTGATGAATTGTGATGAATTGGTGATGAAAATGATGAATACTGATGAATTGGATTTCAGATTTTCACCAAAGACAAGACCTTGATGGAGAGATTATGGGAGGAAACAGGAAGCAAAGAAACTGGTCTAGCGCGGTCGGCGTTTTTGCATCAGACCCACGCAGTGGCCGGATACCGTACAGATTCCTGCATCGATGCCTGTCCCGTATTGGACCGGAAGAAGGTACGAGTACGCATGGTACCAGTATGATACTCGCCGTGACAAAGCAATCGCTTTTTGAGTTTAGGTGGCAGCAGCAGCACCGACAAAGACCAATAAACGAAATTTGCCCCTCAAGCGAGCGCTTCATAGCCTGTACTTATTGGGAGACATGCATACCGGCAGATACCTGCCCCGTATTGGACAAACAGACCAGGAAGGTACCAGCCAGTCTGCCTGCATCGCATGGTGCCAGTATGATACTCGTGACGAAGCAATCGCTTGAGAGTTTACGTGGCACGGTGACTAGATGTATCTCGGGAGCTATCTCGGGCACATGTTTCGTCCATACAGGCAGACTGCGAGACCCTTGTGGGCTACTTGAAAGCTACCGGTACTGTACTTTCAGTGACGTACAACATCAGCTCATGTGGACCAGCCTGTGACTGTGCCCACGTGCCCACCCTGCTAGAAGTGGAAGGCACACGAAGTTGGGCTTTGAAGCAGCCTTACTTTAGAATGTTATTGCTCTGAAGCTCACTCTGAGTGGATCAATTCTGCACAGACATTGGATCCAGTATACCAGTGCCTCTGCTTCTTCGAGTGGGAGTTGATCGATCCAAGAACAAAAGTGTGGAATGAGGAGGTGCACGCGCCCTTTTCGCGCGAATCTTCACTACTAGCTATTTTAAAATAGTAGGCTATGATGTACTGGTACGTGCACAGCAGACAAAATCCTCAAAGAAACGAGCGCTGCACTTCCTGATGGTTAACGGAGCGAGGCGGGCTAAGCTTGGCAGAGCAGGGCATTGGTGGTTTGGAAGCTTTTTCTGAAGGACTCCTGCAGAGATACCCGTCCCGTATTGGGCAACCACCAACGCACCAGGAAGGATGCATGGTACTAGCTAGCTAGCCACCAGTTGACAAAACATTTTTAGAAGAGTTTATGTAGCACAGGGAAAAGCAGCAGAACTGACAAAGACCAAAAAAGAACTTCCTCAAACGAGCGCTACATACCCGTACGTAGCCAGCTACAGTTGCTTGCCTCACACCAACAACAGTTTTAGATGTACTAGCTACTATTAATTAATAGTAGTCTACTTTTAAAAAAAAGAACCACACAGATTTATGCAATGATCTATCCCTCTCGCCTAAAAGAGATATGACCATACAGCACTTCACAAGCTGGTCTTGAGCCTTAACCCTAAATATCCATACCGTAGAATTAATTATAATTGGGGTACGTCATTGACCAAACCACGGACGAGCACCGCGCTTTCAAGCTTTGGGTGTCACCACTTGCGGGCCTTATCGCAACACATCGAAATCGGCATCAATCAAAGCAAAGCAAAGCAAAGCAAAGCACAGATCTTCCAGAAGCTTCAAAGCAAGCACTGTGCCATCGAGTAATCTGATGTTGATCATGAAGAATCTTGATCTGTCTGTTTCTGTTGCAGCATTGGCATTCGCGGGCTTGCAATTGGTTCTCTTGAATCCAGTTTCTTCATTCCCAGTGGTTCCCTCTATTCAGAGTCATCATGGCACCACTGCCACAAAGCTACCAATAAGGTTAGCCACGGCTATGAATAATGAGGATGAAGTTCAGTTTCAGGAACTTATCAGTCGTCGCAGCGCCTTGGCTTCCAGTGGCCTTAGACTTTCCGTCTTGCTAGGGATTGCATCCGTTCCAACTCCAGTCTCCGCCAAGGTACGTACGCTACTGCACTCACTACCCTAATAGCGGCACGGGCGCACAGAATGGAATCAGATGCTTGGTTGGATTTCATCTGCTCTGACTAGTATCTTTAGCTAGCTAGCTGTCTATAGCTAAGATTTGTTTGTATCCACTGCATCTCTTCTTCATTCCAGGGCTTGTCCGAAGAGTATCGCCAAGGTACAGCAGCTTTGGCCGACATGGATGAAAGCGCACCGGTACCTCGAGAAGCCTACAAGAAACTAGATTCGGGCGTCATTTACGCGGATTTACTAAAGGGAAAGGCAGACGCCGTCGTCAAGGCTGGATCCAAGGTCAACCTAGAGTGGGTACTCCGCAAGTCCAATGGTTACTTTGTAGATTCCAGTCAAGTTGTCGGCTCGCCCTTTATCTTTACCGTGGGAGACAAAACTGCCATTGCGGGTGTGGATCAGGGCGTGCAGGGAATGAATATTGGCGGAGTCAGACGGTTACTCATCCCGCCGTCTCTGGCATATGTGGACGGCTTGGAAGATGGAAAGCCAGGGCCCATGCCTCAAGGTTTTGGACCCAGGCAGCAAATGAGACGAGTGCAGGGGGTCAGGAAGGACGTTCCTGGTGAATACATTTATCTCGAAGTGCAAGTTACGAGAGTACGTTAGCTGGTAAGCTAGCTTTCCAGTTGGCGCTTTGTGACTACATGTACATCGTACTCGTAGAATCAGTCTTCTCGGTTTAGAATGCTCTACTAACCAAGGCAATGGAATTGTCGTTATCGTTCGCCAACGGCTTCCTGCTAGCCAGAAGTGGAATGATCAGATGAGTGCCATTTTAAATGCATCGACTAACATAGTATTTATCCGGTAGAAGTTATGTGTACTTTCTGTCAAGCATGCATCAAATGAACGCAAGAATAGTTCGAGCAATCTTCTGCTCAAACGCTCACATGGTTGGGGGCGTCACTAACCCCTTTTGCCTCCACTCCTATCGCGCCAACCTTGGCTACAGACTCTTTCGGATGATCTGATGGTGGCTTTGGCTCGACAGCAACTGCATCTGTTGTCGTGTCGGCCATGAAAGCTGGGCAGGGGCGCTTGGTTTTGTCGATAATCCCTTCTTCTCCCTTTTCTGCTGCTTGTACCGCGTCTTTGTCACTGTCGGATCCGGTCACTTCCAGGATGTTTTCCTCCTTGTCGGCGATGGCTTGCTGTTCCTGGGGTGTTTCGTCATTGCTACTTGATGCCCCGGTCGGCTTTTCTGCTTTCCTTGTGCCCTCGTCCTGGGAAGGAGCATTTGGCTCCTCAGCCGTCGTAGCAAGCTTGTTCGCCTTTTCCTCCATCTCCTTCGCCTTGCGTCGCTCCTCTTGCTGCTCCATTTCGTAGCGGCCTGGTGGATCACTCATTTGTCGGCGTTTGGGAACTATCGAAGTGTCTTCCGACTTGCCCTGCTTCTTCTGCCTTTTGTTGCTGGCTGCCAGGGCCAAGAGAGGCAAGGCAGGTGCAGATGACAGTCGCCGTTTTAGAGCACCAATGCTGCTCGTGCCCGGAGATTGGGACGAGTGATCATCCGTCTTCAAAGGAGACATTGGCTCTGTTGGAATTGCAATGCTGGACACGGAGGGCATTTCCATCTCCCCACTCGCGTTGCTGCGGTCGTCCATGGCTGTCAGTGCAATGGCGACCTCCATCTCAGGACTGCAGGTACGATGGTCCTGATCAGACGAGTTGGAGCTGCTAATGGAGATGGAAGAGCCGCCAAGCCGCGTAGCCGTGTCCTCCTTCGTGTCTTTGACTGCACCGGTTGCAGAGTGAGACCCAACTGAAGAGACATCACTGCAACCGCTGGCTGCTAACTTATTAGAGGATGATATCACTTCACGCTTGATGCAGCGACACAGGTGAGGCAGTGCCTTGTGGAACATCTCGTGGAAATAGGCTCCCGTCGGCTTACGCTTGAAGCCAAACGCATCCAACTCTGCCTTGAAGTGAGCAAGTGATGTCAACCCCAGCCACCTGCAAAATGTAAAATCGAAAGAATCCAAAAAGAAGGTTAGGTCGTCGTCAACACGCATCCATAACAGAGCAAGGGCTATACAACACTTACCTGACACAACCCATCTGTTCAAACTGTTTCTCGTCTACAATGCCAAAGGCACGACCAGATTCATGCCACGTTACCAAACGGCCAAAGCCATGCTCCTCATGAGAATCACTGAGGAACGCATGAAGCCTGACAGGGAAGGGCTGTTCACGACCATGCTGCTTGAGGTACTTGGCATGACGAGGGGCGGCAGCCACACCACCAGTGCCGCTGCTGCTGTGGTGGGAGCCAATACTGCTGCTGCTCTCCTCCAAAAGGTTGCAAATCTGACGACTGCTGGTGGTAGGAGAACTTGGACTCTGACATCCACTGCTGCTGACCTCTCGTGTCACCACTGGTGGTGGAATGATTTGAGTCAGAGCCGTCTCGAGCACATCCTTGATACTACCAGGAGGAGGAGGATTGACTGATGCGATGTTCAAATCGGGAAGGAACTGCATGCGATAAAAGTCGGGTTCGACATTATTATCGTGGCGGCCCTTGGGTCGTCCCCGAACAGTCCCATGAACATTTTTGGGTCGACGAGTAATATTGGCACATAGTTCTGGTCGTCCTCTCAAAAAGGCCGTGTGATAGTAGGCTCCCTTGTCGGGTCCCGACTTGCCAATCCTGACAAATCCATACGCCTTGAGCTGTGCTCGAAAGGAAGCGAACTCGGAGTGTCGAAACAAGGGCAAGACGGCGGCACAGAACAAGTCCTTGTCATTGACGAGAAAGCATCGCCCATGAGGAGCCCAACAGAGAATATTTTGGTATCCAAACTTTTCCGACAATGTGAGTAGGGAATGTAGCTTGAAGGGGAAGTAGTTTTGTGCCATCATTTGTCCCACCCGAGCCCTTTTGCGATTAGCAGACTTATTATTGGCTGCTGCACCGTCAGAAGAATCGGCATCGTGTGTCTCTTCGGCTGCTGCAGTGGTGGGTGATGATGATGATGGTGGGAGTTCGACTAGTAGTCGTCCCTGCTGCTGCTGCTCCTGACCTGAGGAAGACTGCTGCGAATCCAAAAAGAGTCCGTCGGGCAACTTGTCAATCATGGACTTGGTGGACGTGTCGGACATGGGAGACACAATGGACCTGTGCCGGGTGACCTTGGGAGTGCAGGGAGCCGAAGTGGGTCGTGGTCCTCCTCCACCACCACGGATAAAGGAACTCTTGATGTGATTTCGACTTTTAATGAGACGACACAACTGTGGCTGTTCCCGGACGAAATCTGGATGATAGTACGCCTCCACGTCGCCCGCAGCACTTTGTACCCGTTGGAACGCGTGTAGGAACAATTGTGCTCGAAAGGACGCATGCCCCGGAGTGCCCAGCATTTCTGCGAGCCCTTGGATTTCAAAGTCTTCGGAGCTGTGTACGGCAAAGGAATGACCTCCCGGTTGCCAGCTCATGATCCGTTCCAATCCCAGGTCGTAGACTCCATGGCAGAGCAAATAGTGGAGTCTTGAGGGAAAGCTGAGCCCGACGAGTCGTGATGTGACAGTGGCGTGCATGGAAGAGGAAAATGCCTGATTGCTGAAGCCGCCCATGGACATGGAAGGGTAGGCAGTGGGTCCAGACGTTGGGCTTGGATTTGGACTGTCTTGCATCTTTCGGATCATGTGTGCCAACTGAGGCTTGTCCCTCATGAACATGGCGTGGTAGTAGTCTCCTTCGTAGGGGCCTGTCCAAACATAGATAGATAGGATGAGAATGGTAAGTTAGGTAGGTTCAGTCAGCATAGTAAGGTAGCTTTTTAAAAGCTCAGACAAGCTACCAGTCTTGACGTTTTAAAACAAGGACTGACTTACCATGATCTACCCTCTGAAATCCGTACAAACTGAGTAACTGTCCGAACATTTCTACATTGGCATTGCGGTATAACCTAGGTAGAACGTCTCGTTCAAAGGCGTCGCAGTTGAGAATGCAGAAACTTCTTCCGTCATTGTCCGGTTGCCACTGGATGACTCGTGGATCCGACGTGCTGAGCAGTTGATGGAGTTTCACAGGAAAGCTAGCATCGTGGCCACCGCAATGCTGCTGCTGTTGCTGCTGCTTGCGAAGCTTGAGCTGTTGACTTTGACTAGCTCGTCTAGCTTTGGCTCGCTGCATTGCGGATGCAGTGTGCATAAGATTGTTGGAACTGGAAGAAGGGGTATAAGGAATGCTAGTCGTGGTGACTGTGGCAGTGGGAGAGTTGCCAGTCAAATCATACGTTGACACTTGTCTAGTAGTTGAGGTAGTTGTGCTGGTAGTTACAGCTGTAGAGGCTTTGGACTTAGCCGAAGCAGCTGAAGCACTGACTGAAGATTTGGATTTCCCTTCTTCAGCACTTGGACTGCTTGAGCCTGAGCTTGAGCCTGAGTTTGATACTACCACTTCCATCTTTCTTTTATTAAAGCTTAACTTAAGATCTCTCAATCAAGTCAGATCAAGTCAGATCAGATCAAAGGGTAGACTGATCGATTGATTGCAAAATTATGTGGTGTTCTTGTGGTTGGGCTTGGCTTTGCTTTGCTGCGGCTAAGCGACATGAATGTCATGCACAAATAAATAAAACAAAGGCATACCCTTCCTGTAAAGCGGTTGTTTGGCAGGGTGACGTTTTTCTGTCAAAGTGAGAAGAGACGAAAAAGAGAGATGCTATTTCCTCATTAGCGCGAGCCTCACACCGCGCAGCTCTTTAATTACTTTGAGTTATCCCAGAGGTCATTTCCAAACACACGTACAAACCTCGTAGGTTTCTACAGACGCGAAGAAGAAAAAGACGTCGGAAAGAGGTAATCACAGTGACTATTTTAAACGTTGAGTTCTCACAAGGCTACTAATTACCGTATCTCACCAGATTTTGGCCACGCTAAGTATCTTTTTCTCATTTAGACTAGAATCTTTCTCAGGGCCTAAGTAACTGATCTCAGCCATTCACAGCATTGTTTTGTATCTCAGGTCTGTACCCAATTCCAAACCAGTGAGACAACACAGAAGTACCGCTTCCCCCCCTCTTCACGAGTTTTCACAGCAACCTCTCATTCGTTCATCAAGGCAAGAGTGAACACACCTGTCGTAGCTCCTGTCGTCATCCAAGCTCCTGTGAAAGAACCAATACCTTGTAAATCATTGACATGCGGCCCTCACAACCAGTGGTTCTTGAATTGTGAAGTGCGTTACTGTATTAGCCTTATTAGCTGAATCGTAAAGAGAAGCTTCAACCTGACTGGGATGGTTCTGTAGAGCAGGCCGCACAGCTTCTTCTAATAGCTTGGACGGACAAAAGGCAGACAAAGCCAACCTTGCTGTGAATATCTGCCATCTCACCTTAGTTCGCCAGCCAGCTTACTAGAGCACTAGAGCACTAGAGCCAGGTATCCGCTAACAGTAGAGCAAGATGTAAATACATGTTGCTTGTGCTCGGCTGCTCAGCTCTTCCACCAACGTCTAACTAAGCCCCTGCAGGCACCGATACAAGTCTAGCTAGCTAGTACCAACCCCACCAAGTTGGGCTGCCATCCGAGAAGGCTGTGAATACTACAGAGCAGCGATAATAGTCAAGAGGGCGGGCTACCCCGCTCGTAGCTGGCTGCTGTAACGGTACCGGTTCCCTTTCGGACAGACAGAGCAGCTGTAGATCCTTGTGAATGCTTTCTCCTGCTACGGTATCATTCCTCTCACTGTACATGTACTTCCGTTCGTGTAATTTGCACGGGGTCGCTCAGCTTCAGTCCTCAATCCGCCCCTTCGCCCGCCCGTCCTCCTCATTGCTTCACCAAGATATTCCGAGCGAGTCCTGTCAAAACTGCCAATAGTACCCAGCCACCCCAGCGTCCTCCACATCTTCAGCCACATCTTCAGCCACACATGCTAGACAGACTCCATACATGTAGAAGTGCATGGATCGCTTTACGACGTACCGTAGAAGCGAAGAACCGGATAGCCCGAAGACGAGACCTGCAAAGAAACGATACTAGCGAACTCCAGCCACAGAACAGCCACAGTGTGCGGAAGCAAGCGAAAATTCCGCGAGGATGAATCGTTTGCGGTGTACCATACATGTACCAGAGGAGGCAAAAGCTCGAGCGAATATAAACATCCAACACAGATACCGTTCAATGAATCCTTTGCATTATTGTACGAGATCGGATCCTTTTGGTTCCACAGTTAGTTGAAAAGGAAGGCGGCGGGCAGAAACGAGACTGGAGAGGCACAGGAATCTTTACTTAGCTTTACCAGCTTATTAATCACCATCGCAACCTCGAGGATCCATGCGAAGGTGATCCCTTGTAAAGGAACCTAATGCAAGCCCTTTTGGTGTGTTCAAATTGCAAAGCCACAATGCAAGATCTGTTTGCTAACTAGCTAGCCAGGATAAAGGAGCGACCATTAGTGACAAACGTCAGACTGAGAGAGTCTCTCTGCCAGTACAGGTATGTGCTGCAACTGATTGAAGCCTGATCGCTTCCTTACGCACTCAATTGTAACTCTAGCCAATAACTATGGGATTTATCATTGAAATACTAGCTATCCATGTAGGTAGTATGAAACAGATAGATAGATTGACTAATGAGTTAGCTAGTACTACAGCACTCCACTGGCGACAATAGCAATTGGATCAATGGGTTTGTTTTGCGGTGGTTTGACCTTTACCTTTTCCATTTGATGTACTAAATCCATTCCCTGTTGCACCACTCCAAAAACGGCATATCGATCATCGGCCCATCCGGCATCTTGCGCAATATTGATAAAGAATCGTGAATCGACACTACCATCGAGACTGCGTACCATACTGACGAGTCCTTCTTTGGAATGCTTCAGATCGTAATTATCGGGTTCAAACGACTTGCCGCCATCAAAACTGCTGGTGCCCGTTTTGCCCGAGTTGTCTCCAATGGCGCCACCTTGGACGGTCAGCTCCGAAAGGACGCGGTAAAAGGTGGTTCCCGCATACCGATTGCCTTGACAGAGACTTACAAAGTTTTGTGTGACGCGTGGCATGACGTCTCCAAAGAGTCCCATCACAATACGACCCTTGGTACTACCTTCTCCAAATTCGACGTCCAAGTAGACTTGTTTGGTGACTTGCGCCATTTCCGGGTCTAGATAAGACGCATGCGCTGGTGCTATTGGTAGTGTAGTACATGCTGTGCCGGCAATCAGAATGGAAGAACAGGCATCTCGTCGACTGAAGGATGGCCCTGATAGTGCCAGTGATAGACTCACTAACAGCAAGGCTTGGAGTACACGTACATGTATTGGCAGCGTCATGGTATTCAATTGAGTTGAGTTGATAGATGTCTGTGTCAAGTTGGCACTTCCATTGGCCATTTGTATCTTTTGATAAGTTGAACCAGGCAATGGCAGTCTCAAAACAGCTTAATCGCTTTACTACGGCCTCCGGTTGAATTGGCCAGAATGGGCTCGGGAAGAAAATTGGAGGGCCCCGGAAGAAAATCCGACTTTCCCTGTAGACCTCTGCTACAGTTTCTACTGAGGGACAAATCCGAACCTTCATGGAATCGGGAGGAAAATTCGACGGTGTCGCTCGGCGCGCAAAATCCAACCAACAAAGAAAAGTGCCCTTAAGTAAATTTTCTTCCCAGCCCTCGGATTTTGCTCCGGGGCCCTCCAATTTTCTTCCCGAGCCCATTCTGGCCAATTCAACCCCAAGCCGTAGTATATTGAATCATGAATAACTTTAACCCCAAGCCTCGGGGTACGTCAGAGTAGAGAAGCATCACCAAGACAACACACCAAGGATCCCATCGCATCCATCCATCACACAAACAACGGCAACAATTGAGAACAACAAGATGACGATGAGATGTCTTTGTCTTTCAGCAGTGGCGGCGTTGGTTCTTGCCGGCAAGACTAGTGCCTTTGTACCACTTGCTACCAGCAGTAGTTTATCTCAAGGGAAGATTCTACCATCCAATTCAGCTCTTCAAGAAGGCTCAGAAGGCTCAGAATCAGAAGATAAGGAAAAGACTGAAGTAACACCAATAATTCTGGATGCGTTTCCAGAAGCAGCAGATCCCCTGTATCCCAGTACGGGTCCCATTGGTGAGGGTGATTTTGTGATTAGTCGAGAAGGAGGTCCCACCAGGGAAGAATTGGCCAATGAGAATATTCTGCGCATTGTCAAGAGCGAATGCACGGATTTGGAAGTCAACACTCTTGTATGGAAGGGACTGGGATATCGATTCAATACACTCTCGTCAGAGTGGGAATCCACGGAATGCTTCCCCAAATGGAAAGAAAAATATCCCACACCTCCCGATCTCATTGGCATGCAACGCATGTATTCTAGAGAAATTGATCAAATCAGTCTACGATCCAATCAGGCATTGGTCAAATCTGTACCGGTAGACAATAAACAAAGTCTCAAGGAACACATGAAACCATTGGGGTGGAAGGGATTTCAGGTGAGTACATGCAAATAGTAAACACACAATCAAGCACTTAAAATACTATATCAATACTTTACTCATCTCGTGTTTTTCTTTCTCATGTTTGCAGTACAAGGAACTGACGCCCAATTTGACTCGCAGGGCACAATGTGCCAATTGGTTGGTCTTTTATAGAGAGGAACTATTCGGATACACCATTGAAGAACTTCGAGAAAAACGACAAAAGAAAAAGGAAGCAGAGCAAGCCAAAAAGATGGCGGAAGGAACCCAGGATGAATGGTCACCGCCGGTCAAGGAGGTATACTAATTACCGGTAGACTACTATACTAAACACACATGTACGGTACGGTATGTACATGGAAGTCAAGCATAGAATTGCAAATATCGATTACATACCGGTAGGCGTGCCAGACCAAAAATAGGATGAATCGATGAATTTTTTCGAGGGCGACAAAGAAACTGGCACCTGGGCATGCTTACATACCAGTGCAGCACTGCAGCTGCTCACTACATGTATTAGCAATACAATTAACGAGCTTTAGACTCAAAGTAGTAGCTCTTTTTAAAACAAGGCTGACCTTCATTGATTTGGCAGTCTTCGTGCTCCGATCCTCTCAGTGGCTACCCTACAGTAGCTACCGAACCGCTCAATCCTGAGCTGAACATCCGAGATGGAGGGCGTCGACTGCGTTTGCCAGCTTCATAGAATCCTGGAAAAACCTTCCCCTCCATGAAAACATGTTGTCGGGGAGTGTTGTCGGGGAGCCTCACCGTATGGTACCAGTATTATGCCAAGGCAAAAGTTGAAGGATCGTCTCGTACATGTTCCTCTACTAGACTAGCTAGCTAGAGGGGAAAAAGAACAACACCAGGGATTCCAACGTGGTCCCCCACCGTAGTACTAACCTGGCCCGACGATGCTTAACTTCGCTGAGCAGACGGGAAGCGGTGCTGTCATCGTGGTATGGTCGTTCCTGTTTGAGCAAAAGGTGCAATAGTACACAATCTAAGACTTTGGAAATGTCATCTAATGTGCGCACGATGTACTAGTAGGTGCAATACCTACCGGTGCGGCGGAGGTGAGAAGATCCAAATCCTGTCTGCACCGAGGAGGCCTTGGCAAGAACCACTGAGGTGCGTGAATGTGGTGCCTGTCTGGTACCGGTACCCAACCGATAGACAGGTGTTTGCATTGGTCTTCCAAGTCCAACCTCACGTACGGTATCCACGTACATGTATCACACAGAATGCAAGAAACCGGGGTCTCCCTGTGGCTTGCTTGCCCATCTCCAATTACATGTATTAAGTAGCCTAAGCTGGCTTGTACAGTATCTCTACTGACGTCAGAAAAGAAAGGCAAGATTGAAGGAGAAGCTTTACATGCGCGTTTTCTAGCCGTTGCTTTTGGAAGCGAATTTGTGTCACAACATCAAAGAAAAAAAGCGCAGGTGCTGCAGCCCGAGCATGCAGCGGGACGGAGTTGCGGGATGGGTGTCATTTCATGTCGTCGACAAACGTATGTTTCTACTTGAGGTGTCAAGGCCATGCCATCAAGCAAATCACAATCAGTCATTGCTTTGCAAGAGCGAGATTCGATAGCCTTTACTGGGATTGCAAGTTGAAATAACGAATTTTCGTCTTGGCACGTCATAAAAAGCTCATCCTGTACGGTAGGCACGTGATGACTGGCTGCTGGATCAGGGATCGTCATTGGCACTTTCAAGATAGGAATGAATAGAAAGCTTGCTTGGCCATAAGTTAATCCTAGCTTGGTAGTTGATCATAAAAAGGAACTTGATCATTTTGACTTACCTATCTACTAGTATCTGATAGCCATCCAATAAACAGAAAAGTTCTTTGCTTCTAGCTAGCTAGCTTGTGTCAAGCTAAGCTATAACCCACACACCTATTAATAGTAGACTACGGTACAGTTCAGTGCAGCAGGCATCATGAGCCCACCAAGACAAGATGACGACTTGAACAAGAACAAAGATGAAGAAAGTTTGCTAAAAGGCGAGGATTCTACAAGAGCAAAGAATGCTGGAACAGCTGGAACTGCTGCCAGTGAGAAAAGTGCCTTGTTGTCTCCCGAGTACATGTACAGTCCTTCGCCCAATTCTACCGACAGACCCAGTTTGACCAATTTGACGGAATACGGAGCTCTAATGGCGGATAGAGAAGAGGGAGAAGCTCCTCTCATTCAAATGCAAGTCAACGCAAACAACCATAACTTGCCAGCAGCAAACAACAGCACAAGCAATAATAATAATATTGCAAACAGCTTTGGAGATGACGAATGGCCGCAAATTTCAAAGAAAAAATGCAAGAACGAACTGGTCTGGATTCTTTTGCTTTTGGTGGCACTCTTTCTAGCCATCACCACTGGACTCTCCCGCTGGGGTACTGGTAGTGATGCCAAAAAAGAAAGCCACGATCCCCATTCCGACAGCAGCAGCAGCAGTGCTTCTTCTTCCGCCACTGACAATAATTTCGCCCGTCCGTTTTCCCTAAATCACCCGGTCCATGACTTGAATCTGCGTACAGTGCAACGTCCCGAATGGTCGGCTCCCAACCGAGAACTCTTTGCGGATATTCAAGGTCCTCTACCGACCAACTCGTGGTACCAAAATCTGCTCCTCGCGACGAGACACGAACCCACAGAGGAGCAACGAGCTTATCCCATGCCATACGTCGTCGACACGGTGGGACCCATTCCAGGATTACGAGTCCATCATACCAGCATGGTGGCATCCGATTTGGTGTTGCAGCTTACAAATATTCCCAGCCATGGGCTCACATTGGGAGCGGCATCGCAGTCCATGTTGCTCTCCTCCAGCGCCACTGCTTCCAAAAAGTACAAAGTCACGCACATGACGCCTCTCGGGGTCACATTGCAATGGGTGAGTTTCGTTATTTCATACAAACTAGTGTTCGTTTGATTTTCGTTTACAATTCGATTCTCACCATTTTGTTTTATTTTATTTTATTTTTCCAACCCATGCATATTATATAGCCCAACAATCAGACCACGTCGTCGTTGACACACTCCACATCCATTGTCAAAGGAATGCCGTATGCAACCATGGCATATTCCATCCAAAATGACAGGAAACTTTACCCCACGGAAGCCAGATTGCGAGAACAAGCAGCTTCAGACCACGATCAAGACATGCCCACCATCGTTTCGGAGGTACCCATCTCGTCACCACCATTGTTAGATGGACAAACCAATCTAGACTGCAAGAACGTGCAATTGGTTCAAAAAGAAATGCAACTGCAGTTTCAAGGTTCCGATTATACTTGGCTCGTTTTTGTTTCCCGCCCCGTAATGGTCCGTTGCATGGAAACATCCAGTCTTCCTGGAACTTCCTTTGCCGTGCAGTTCCTATTGGACAATGATGATGATGATGATGATGATGACGAGTCGTCCGACTTGATTGTTCGAATGGCCATGGGCAATGCCTGTACTACCAATCCCGGAACTTGTGGTGCACAAACGCGACGAAAGGATCCCGAGTCGTACATGCGCCTCCTGAGGAAACATGCCAACTATTACCCTGGGCCCAACACGGCTGTAGGCTTTGAGTTTGAAACGGACAATGACGAATTCAACAGCATCCAATTTGATTGGAACGTGCAGAAAATGAGGCGCGATGACCACGAGACTGAAAAGAATGCAACCAGCTTGCTCATGTTTGCTCTGCTTCATCATCAGGATATGTTCGCGGCAAGCCAGAAAGCTGGCAACAAGAACCCCCAGCTGCCGTCATACCCCCACGGAAAAGGGGGACCAAAGTCTTGTGCTACTACGCTTTTGGGACCTGCTTGTTTGGTGGAGGGATCCACATGGATGCTACAGGAGAAGCGTCAACGGGCGAGCTTTCGGGCGCCGCGTCCTCCACGCAACGAAGACTTGGCAGTCTTGGTCGACGCCTTTCGAAGTGATCTAAACTATAGTCTACCGCTATATTTCCAACGCGGTGCAGGAGACACGGTGAGTGATGATTTTGGTTTGTTGTTGCTCGGCGGAAAACGACACTGAATGCGTGCATGCCTAACAACTTTTCATTTGCTCCTTCTCTTGTTCTTTGTCGTTCCGCGTACGCTTCAGTATTTTTCCGGGAAGATGCTGGCCAAGCTGGGTCGTATTCTGACCATTGGTGAAGAACTTCATGAGATTTGTGCATCCCACGATAGCCCCAAAGAGTGCAAGGGTTTGGACGTGCCATCGCCAGAGCAGCCCGAATTTCAGCAAGCGTTGGCCAGACTTCGAAGCTCTGTAGAGGTTTGGATCAACGGAACAGCAGATACACCCTTCGTTTACGATGGCTTGGCTACGGGTGGTTGGGGAGGCGTTGCCAGTTGTGGTTGTGACTTTGATGAGTCGCAACAGCAGTGTCGCAACCAGTATCCCGATTGCCCTGGATTCTTCAACCCCGGCCTGAACTTTGGAATGGGTAAGTCGATTGAATCCATCATTCGCTGTTTGGTTCCCATGTCCAGAAGGATGCCTATTCTGAATTCATGTAACTCGACTCGTTTGTTTTCCTGGCAGCATTCTACAATGATCATCACTTTCACTTGGGGTATCATATATATTCAGCTGCCATAGTTGCTCACTTTGATCCTCAGTGGGGGCGGGATCACTTTGAACAAGTCTTGTTGCTGGTGCGTGACATTGCCAACCCTTCGCGCGACGACAAGTCGTTTCCATTGTTCCGAAACAAAGATTGGTTTCAAGGTAATTCCTGGGCCAGTGGCATTGCCGTGTCTCCCTTGAATGGAAGGAACCAAGAATCTTCGTCGGAGGCTATTGCGTCGTACGAAGGTGTCGCTCTCTATGGGCAGGAAATGGTAGGTGTTCAGGTCGTCTGCAACATTCAAGAATCCTAGGTGCATCGTGTCTTACCAGCAAGAATCTCTGTGCATGTTTAGGCCAAAGCGTGGGAAGATTACGACCAAGACAAAGTTGCAACAGCCAAACAAATTGGCCGGTATGGTGAGGTCTTGTCCGCTAGTGAACTCCGATCGGCGGATCGATATTATCACATCATTGAATCCAGCAGGGAGCAACAGTTCCCCATTCAATACACACCCCTTGTTATCGGCATAATGTGGAATACCATGGCGCAGTTTCAGACTTGGTTTGGAGGTGCCGCCTACTTGGCGTATGGCATTCAGCTGCTGCCACTGACGGTTGCTGCAGAAGGACGTGATTCTCTCGAATGGTCCCAGGAACTGTACCAACCATTTGCAGACAGTTGCACTGCCCATCTCGCTCCATGCCGCGATGGCGGCTGGTCGGTGCTTGTCTTGGCAATTTTGGCAACTGTGGGGCAACAGGACGAAGCAATTCAAAAGACCTTGGAGCTTCCGTCCAGTGTATTTACGTCGGCAGGCGGCAACGGCCATTCCTTGACAAATACACTTTGGTACTTGTCGACTCGTCCAAAGGTGGATGATCCACTGGTCGTTGTTGACCAAAACAACGACGACGGAATCAAACAAACTGCCGACCTCGAGAAGAACATGCACCCCCAAGGCGACGAAAATGACGTGAATGACCAATCACCCCAGCATCAGGGACCAGTTGTTGTCGATCTAAACTTCAACTGCAGCTGCCCCGAATCTTGTACCGAGAGGGCCTTGAACCATTTTGCCAATGGGCACAGCTGCGGCTCTCGGATACTTTGGCTCATGAACGAGAAAGATCATAATGAATATGATGCATGTCACCAGGTTGGTGTGGAATTCTCTGGGGATTGTGGCGCCTGTGATCCAACCCAGTGCAGCTCCAAGGAGACAGCTGCGTCGAAATCATGCCCTCCGTGCTCTACTGAGATCTGCGGAGACAGCAAGCTCAACCAGTGCCCCTTGCAGAGTGCACCTTTTTTGTGCACGGAAGGCGCGAGCAAAGGCGGTTGTTCGCCTTCACCGTGGGTCCTGCACGACGATGGCATCTGCGAGAGCTGCTGCGAGCTGTCTCCCGCGTGCTAGGCAACGGGCTCGTCAGCTCGTCATTGCATCATAAACGAAGTTGCCATGGCACGGCACTCAAATCCAACTTAAAAAAATCTCATTCGAGAAGTCCAGAAAAGGCGAAGCTTGGGTGGTCACTTTAACAATGTTCCAGCTATAGTCAGTTGCTAAGAACAGATAGATTGATACATAATTACTTTATTAATAGAAAGTTGAATCAGCGCACAGCCGGCGCCCATACTAAGCAACAGAATGGCTCCTCTACTCGTTCGAAACTGCGCAGCCACTTCCCTGAGTCGGCCCTGCAACCTTCCAGCCAGCCTTCTAATTCTATTTTGCAATGATGGTGACAGCTAGCTAGAGGACTTGAAAGACTGCATTTGAAGAGCCCCATCATGCAACGTGCCACCAAAACATTTCTCAGATCACTTTTCCATTTTCAGCGGCTCCATGAATAAGCTTCTCTCTTCAAACTTCAAAACCGCTTTGAACCACATACAGTATTCCTACCGTTGTTACAAGGTTTGGAGCTCCTTGAAAGCTTGAAAGTGCCACTGAAACATTTCCTTCGCTCACTATTTTGTATCAAGCTCGAAGCGAGTGACAGTCCGAAACATGTGCATGTAGCTGCATGCACCAGTACCTAGTAGTCCTCTTTTCACTGGTGACCAGGCGACTAATTGTAGAAACCACGTACGACATATGCCTCTTAAAGCTTCAGATGCCTTGACATCATTCAGCTTTCGATTAGGAGTTATGATTATCATGAAGTGCTCTTTTGTTAGTGTCCACAGTCGCACTTTTTGATGTCCGGGCATATGTCATGCGGGAACTCGTGTGAATAGAGCAATCAAATTAGATTCGCAAAAATTTCGTCTCCCGGAGACGATTTGCTTTTAGGGGTAAGGGTACTAATGGGGGCAGAGGTTTGAATTATACCCCGCGCGCATTACTTAGAGGCCCCTGTAGAAGTCTACGTATTTGACTAGTATTGTATTGACGGGATACAGTCAACGCATGTACATGCACATGATACTCACCTCACTTTTTCCCACAAGTTTCGCATGGATGAAGTATGAGAAAGGGAGTGGTACAGGTGTAATGACGGCGACGAGGAGACACAAGATAACAGCTCAACAAGAAGGATCCCGATGAAACAACGACGACGGCAGATCCCCATGGCCGATCACTCGATGGACCAAAACAACGAAGAAAGAGAGCCATTACGACAACAGGGATTCGACAGGGCTTTCGCGTTTTCAGTGGTCAAAATAATGAGATGCCAGCTGAAAGTGAAGAATAAAGATGGCTGACTGACTGATCGATCGATTCAGATGCAATCTGCTGCCGTTGAATCTGACGCGAGTTAGAGCTCACTCAAGCAATCAACATGGTCGCAGAACAGATCAAATATCGATCCCAGCCGACAAAGAGACAACACAAAGAGATGCCGGCCGATGCCCATGGTCAACTCGGAAGCTGAAATATCGATCGTACGTGTTTATGAGAGGAGAGGTTGCTCGCGGAAATGTGTCAACAGCAACAACATGTTGACTGATCGTGCACACATGGTGTGAAAAGAGATGCCCATGGTGGGATGCGATTTACTTTGGATGCAACGGCTAAATCCAAAACTCGAAAGACATTCTGTGACTGGAGAGCCGGCCATCTAGTTTAAAACTAAGCCTCACATTTTGACCTCACATTTTGGGATTTCCATGGAAAATGGCAACGTCCTACTTGGGGAGTGCATGTTCTCAACAGGAACATGGTAAAATGACCAAACAAATGTTACAGCCCCATGCAGAACAACAAGGGGCATGGGGCCGTAGCATTTGTTTTTGTGTTTTTCCATCATCTCGTTGATCTATTCCACTCCCCAACTACAATACCAGAGATTTTCAATGCGTCGGTATCAATGTGGCAGTGGCAAAACAAATACTACTATTTTACTATACGTCTGTACCATGGTTTGTAAATAATTTACATTATTCCTGTTTTTATTTATGCCTGCTGCAGTAAGGTTGACATGTGTCATGAATCATTGAAAAGTACACTTTTACTATACTTTCTGAGTCAATACATGATTCACTATTCGAGCATATATCTTTCAGGGCACCTTTACTAATGCCTGTGCAGGATTGCGAATGTCCTATTCTTACTGGTCAACCAAAAGACATAAAGTAAAGCATTTGAATCCTGCATAAGTACGTGGTTGCACCCCTTAGATAAATTTACTATATATATTATTGTACAAATCTACTTCAAAGTGCAGTCATACTTGTTCTAAATTGGACCAAACTATTTATGCATCTCACAAAAAGTATAACAAAAATGAAATACACGTTTAACATAGGTATATGATGTTAAATCGTGAGCCGTTTCGGCGTGCGAATACTGTTTCAATAAAGCAAGTTAGGTGTTGGTAATAAAAGATTTATGGAAACGGAGACGACCCAGGGGGCATATGAATGATACTATTGAATTTAACTTAATTAATGGATTCGTGGTTATGTAAAAGTCAAGGAGGTGTGGAGTGGGGAGCTACTGGTTGAAGATTGGAGATGTACAGTGAGTGGAGTTCAAAATTGGCAGTGACAGGCACTTCAAAGCATGCTTTCAAAGAGATCGACCTCTCCGACTTCAAGGCTGAGCAAATCAAAAGGATCTTGCGGTTCAGCAGGCTGGAACACGAAGTCGTTGCAGTTGGTGTCTCCTCCGAGACAGTTGGCAGGTCCAGCGTTGAAGTTGGCAAAGGCGCTCTGTGGGCTCTGTTGGATGGAAGTGTTCAAGTTGTTCATGCTGTTGAAGCTGTAGCCGTGACGGTTCATGTTGTTGTTGCCGTTGCCAAGTACAGGCAAGGCCATCACTTCAGCAACTCGAAGGCGATTGATGAGGGTTTGGAGTGTAGTGTTTCCCTCGGAGATTGACAATGGTTTGAACTGCTGCTGCTGTGGCATGAGAAGACCCTCAGGGCAGCTTCTCTTTTCCGCAGGCTTGGTGGGCTCTACAGAGGGAGCTGGCTCTCTCTGTTCTCCTTCATCTTCCGAAGACGAAGCATCAGAAGATTCTTCCGTGGATTCAGGAGCCTCGGCCCTGGTTTCCCTTGCCACCCGAGCCAATCGCTTCTGCTTACGAGTCTCACGCTTAATATCCTTGCTGGACTTGTACTTGCTTTGGATGCAGTCACGGAGAGCCTGGGAGGTCTTTTCACGGCCAATGTTGTCTTCAGCGCGGATATACTTTCGAAGCTTGGAGTCATAACGGATAAATCCTCCCACGGATTCCACTTCATTCACAATGGTTTGGACAATGGCCGACTTTTCTTGCTTGGTCTTGGCGAATGAGTACTCTTGAATGTGACGAGAAACAATCTCCTTGGCAAAATGCTTGTTTCCATAGTGGCCATAGGAACGCTTTCCTCTGCCACAGACCACAAAGTTGATGCCTGGACAAAAGTCGTCAGGGAACACAATCTTGTTGGAGACGGGATCGAGGTAGGTTCCTTCTTCATCGCAGAAGCCTGTTCCTGTACGTGGGGAAGGAGGGTTGCAGTTGCTGTAGCCGTTGCCGTTGCTGTTGTAGGTGTAGTATGGCATGTTGGCAGTTGCATCAGAGATCATTCCAAGATTGTAAGTCATGTGAGCTTGGTTCATCATTTCTTGTGTGCTGTGTGTGTGTGTGTTACGGATGCTTGGATCTCGTGAGAATTGGATGATGGTATGATGGTATGATGGTATGATGGTGGGTTAGTCAGTGCTAGGTTGTGGATCTTTTCGGAAATTGCCGAGTCAAAATTTGTGAGAATGCAATTGGGCCAAGAAGACTCCAAGATTTGCTTTCGAGTAGAAACCAGAAAACCAGGCTATGGATTACTTCTGCGACAGATTGATTTGGTGGTTACGCGAGCTTCACGTGAAAAGTCCCAAAGCAGGACAACTTCCAAAGAGTTTACAGCATGACCACACTGGTCGTACTGATTTATTTGGTCCGGTACCAGACTGGTACCCTCGATCCACCGGTGTGCTATCTGGCCAGATGCAGTACCTCTGAGACTCTCTGAGCCACCATTTATTTAACGCAAACAGAACCAAAAAGAGATGCCTTCTGATGAGGATGTTCCACTGAATCCTTTTGAGTCCGCTGAATTGAATCTTCTGGAATCTACCAACATCCTCGTACTGCACATACGCACACACTGCAACTGGCTTTTAACTCGGTACTTGAGTTGTACCGGTTCAGAGTTTTAAGTAAGTGTGGAAAGCTTGCCCCAATGGATCCCCCAAAAGGGAAGGAAGAACCCTGGCTCCCGAAGAATTTAGGAAATAGTATTTCCTACTGAGCACTAGTTTTATCAGAAACCTATTTTTAAAATCAAAGAGCTTGCAGTGAATTAACATTGATGAGGACTGGAGTACGGCTGCAATTATTTGTACATGATTTCTATTGGAGAGCTATTAAAGTATTTAATCTCTGATCCGTACCACTCCCCACACTTCTTACTGTACCATTCCTCGACGGTTCGCCAACTCATTTTCTGAGGGTTCCACCAAAACAAAACAATTTTGTCCCAAAATGCTTTTCTTGTCGCTTGTCTTTGGCCTTCGACACTTCAACGCTTCAACAGCGCTCATTCAACCACAAGAACACAAAACTCTCTCTTTTGCCAGGGTAGCTGGCATCTAGGCGAGGAGATAGGAGGGGAGTTTGAGGCAACCGGACTCGGGTTGATGCGTCGGGATCTACAAAGCAGGTCATACACGATCCTCCTCTCTTCCTCCAACGAGAGACAAGAGCTATTTATTCCATTTTGCTTGCGGTTATTGACAGATGTCGCTCGCCTGATCTATCTTGTCAAAGAACGGGAGACGTAGCTTCTAACAGCATCTTCTCTCTTTCGGACCACCGCAAGCCATACCGGTGGGCGAGTCTTAAATCCTCTCTTTACGGAGGACACAATAGTAGTTTGCCAGATCCATCCGCAGCCAGTACACTGTAGCAGCAGTCCGCTTTGTCAATGATCGAGATCCATTGGGACTGATGAGGATTGAAGTTGGAACCAAAACCTGCGTTGGTCCTCACAATTGGACTCTTCTCTGCTGGGTAAAGTACTCAGTATCATTACAGTCGCGCACTACTGCTTCAGTACATTCTCCCCATCCGGATTCGGTTCAAGCAGCCACTTCTCTACTCTTACAGTACATCATGGAAGTCCTTGAACTTGATTTCTCTAGAGTCCGGACGCAAGATTGGTTTGTCCCATACAAAAAGCCCCGATCCATTGCAGTCGTCTCTTCTCCTGCCTTGCACCATAATATTATTTGCACGAGTCCTAAATCACTGGACGAAAAAGTTGCACGATCATATGCTTTCGTTTCATCTTCCGACATGTCTATTCTAAAGCAGCCGTCTCTTCCGAGGCTGCCAAGAAACCAGAGGACCCCTTCCGGATCGAAGACTCTTTGGGTCACCATCAGTCAGGATCCACTGGGTAACTATCGGACCTGTCAAAGACTTGGGCCCTGAATGTTCATTTGGCTGGGAGGAAAGCACCATTCCATGCTCTACCAGCCCGCGGCGTTTCGTGTAGAAATCGGCACTGGTGGTGGCGGTTGGAAGCAACCACACAGCAGAGCAAACAGAAGCATGTAACTGGGATTCTGTACTCATGGCTACTGACACTACTTACCACCTGGAGTGTCTACTTTGCTTTGCACCGTGGTCATAATGCATGCTGAACTGAACTGAACAGGCAAGATTGCTTCGAAAGATTGAATTGTCCAGAGGGACACAAGAGAGGACGCACGGGGAAGTTTATTTCGGCTGGAGGTGCGAGAAACCTGAGCACAGCTTCAGACTTGCTTCTTCCGAAAGAAAAAGTGCCAGAGACGGCCGACCCGTTGGAGTCGAGTCATCATCACTCCGCCTGAGCCGCTGCAGCAATGACTATTCCAGAAACCGAACTTGACTGGCTCATTCTGTCAGCCTCCGTTTGTGGTTGACATGATTGCCAGTTGCCAGCACGATACATCGCTTCCAACGAGCAACCAATCACTCATGCTATGACCCGCCTGCGTCGAGTCGAGTCGAGTCAGCAGTTGGCAACGAGAAATTTCTTGGCCCCAGATCCTCTACTAAGAAATCCAGCGAACGGCGAGCTGCCTGATCAATAGAAGGATACATCCGCGAGCGAAGGACATGCCAGTGCCGAATCCCTCAGTGGAAGCAAGAGGGTCGAAACTGCAAGAGGTTATCGGTGGTCATTTAATTTTCGATCTCCTACGGCTGAACCGACGAGCGAGTTGACAGAATAAACGGGGGTTTAGAGTAGGTGGATTGTTCGATTTTAAATAGTAGTGCGAACAATGGTCGACGGAACAACAAAGCAGTCATCTCGCAAATGCACGAAAACTCTCTGAATGGCTGGAGCATGGAAACCATTGGCTGGTCGAAGACTTACTCAGGCAGTACGAAACTTGTCGTGAACCAAACGCTGTACCAAACTACATGTATTCATTCGCTTCTGTGGCTGATGAGGAAGCAACAGACGGACCGCAGGCCATATTTCGTTGCGGTACCGGCATCTTCTGAAACGTGGATACTTGAACGATGTCATTATTTCTTTTTCAAAGTTGAAAGCATGGTAACTAACCCTACTCCTAAGAAGGTCCTTACTTCTTTTTTCCGCAAGCGAACTTCCTGAAGCAGTGGAGCTGCTCGTTTTCGCCGAGAGGCCTGTGAGTTCTGCTTCTCAATGTGCAAAAGGAAGTTTACCGTAATTTGCTGAAGCCATTCCGTGACTGAGAGATTTACAGAGTGAGGAATAGCCTTGATTCGCTGGCTTTGTCGCTGGCAGCAGAAGAACCGCGTTTTGGAGATTGCTGCAAAGCTGAGACTGGTCTTGGTGCTTTTGCTTCTAGAAGTCTATGCATAGGTGCTGGATTCGGATGTGGTCTGCGTAGTGGAGAAGGAATTGCTAGTAGCTAGACAAGACGTGTTGGTAAAGGCTTCGATGTATTAGTAAAATGTTAGACTCGCTAAGAG